TGTAGCATGCATGTGCAATTATTTAAAGTTACCAAATGATCGTTTGAAATCCAGGGCAGGGGAAATTATACTGTCAACTGTGAATATTCTTATCGATATAAGGAACAGTTACACCAAACTTGGAAATGCTAAGTAAGGAGGAAATAATACTGTATATTACATCAGCGTAATTTAAGGATTACACGAGGGAGCTAGTATCAACAAAACACACCTCGTAAATCCCTGAAAAATATTTTAAACTATTCTTTATTCCGTATACTCTTCAATTCCAGATTGAGAGCCTAAAGCGGGATATTGAATAACATGATTCTCCGGCCTTATTTCTCGTTCCTTTTTATATATATACGTAATCTTCATTCTTCATGCACCCTAACTTTTCTGGCTTTTGGTTCAGTTTTCTACGTCGCGGGACGTGTTAAACCTGGCTAAAAATTATCACGTTTCATTTAAATTTGGAGGATTTTTCTATTCAACTTACGGCTTATTTAAAACACTAATGAAAAGCTTACAAAGAATTATATTCGAACTTTGTAAGTGTTTGGCAAGCAAACTATGAAAAGAGGATATGTATCAAGCCCCGACCGCGTAGTCCGGTCTTTATGCATTCACGTTTCTCTGCGCATACATGTATGATGTATTTATAAAGGGAATATATTATATACTATATATTTATAAAGGAATATATTATATATTATATTTGGGCTTCGCTTTATTCACACTTAATAGAATTTATATGGTTTGGGGACCACATAAAACTACAAAGTCAATACAACTCTTGTTCCTTTCTCATCACATGCATGTCTATTGTATTTTGCACAGATAAACCAATAGCAATCTATTAAATTTACATATTTTTCAAGTGAAGGTTGAGAAGCTTAGCAAGACAAATGCGATTATGCCAATGGTAAGTTTGGCTAAAACACAATAGACACGTGAAAAGGAAGGAACCATTTTTTGCATAAGCCCAGTGAACTAAAATAAAACTGGAACGCTCATTCTCTGACTTTCCCTCTTTAATGAGTGAATCCAAGATGGCGGATCATGGAGCCTTTCCAGTGAGCCTCTCTTGTATGTATGATCCAGGCCTCTGGCGCGGAAATTTCAAAGGTAAAATCATAATATCCGCCATTTTACCTACTAAATTTCCACGCGGAGGCCTGGATCATACCTACAAGAAAGGCTTCAGTGTCCGTCATCTTGGCTTCAAACTTCCGACAGAGTGAGCGTTCCAGTCTTATTTGAGTTCACTGCATTAATCTGGACAATAGTAAAATAACATAGTTAATGACTTTTATTTCGTCTCCAAACCATGCATGAATACATATATTTTAATAACTGTGCTTTATTCCAAATCGTTCCGTATCTTGACTGGGTTTTTTTCCAAAATTTTCTTCTTCATCATAATTCGCTCTCTTATGTGCTAATATTTTTTACTGCGACTCTACCATACGCAAGTATCCCTATGCACTTTTCTCGTTTTCCAGGGGTAAATTTAAGAAAAAAAGTGAAAAAGACAAAAGAAATAAGTTGAACAAGTACATCAACGAACTAGATAACTTGCTTCCAAGCTCCTCGACGCAATCTAAAAGACTGGATAAGGTTACCATACTAACTACAGTTGTTAATTTCATGAGGAGTCGAAATGGTATGTTATTCAAATTCCAAAAAGGGTTTTTCTTCATCATCAATTTAACGTGGGGTTGTCATATTTCTTCGATCGAATATTTTCGCTAATATATGAATACGCGAATGTGATCATATAATAGAGACCTTTAGCTTGACGTTTACGACAACCCCCTAACGGCAAACAGAAAAACTGATTCATTTCGAATGCTAGGTTTCTGAGGCCGAAAAAATTCGTGCATTATTTTCAAACGTAGAGTAACTACTGAGACAAATTGTGGGCGAGAAATTTCAGTTTAGAATAGCGGTTTAGATTGTATATCCTTAGTATTTAGTAAAAACTGTTTTCCCGTAAATATGCAATTGTAGTTAGATTTACCGCTACATAGTTATATAATTACCATGCAAGCATAAAAGTCATTTTGCTGGCCAAATTTCCATTTACACTCTCTTCCTCTTCGTCCTGAAAGCCAAGTTGCGCCCCTGATAAAATACATTATTACGCCCCTGATTAAATCACATTTTATCGGAAGATTTTATTGATGAAAATTCTAAAGTTTTAAATGAAACGTGTTCTGCTGACCTGGCAAACCCTATTCAACCAAGTTCCAGATGGTATATCAGTAATTGGCTAAGAACTTGCACAGAGTTCACTTCAAGACAAACTATGCATGGAAAGTTTCTATTTTTGGATCCTGGGTAAGACACATCTAGTTTCACATTCATTGAAAGTATCATTTTCCGATGCTATATTGAAACTATACAAACAAACAGCTATCACGTAAACGCGTATCTTTCTAGATGTGTTTCTGTTGTTGGTTACCTTCCACACGAGATGATTGGAACGATGATGTATGAATACATTCACGTCGATGATTTTGAAAATATCTACAAGAGCTTTGAAAAGTGTACGATAATTCGATGTAAAATTTTAGATTCTGCTTAGTCTAGTTTATTAGGCCATGCAGTTATTTGGTTTTGCATGATTTAGTTAATTATGTAAGAGCTGGGAAATAATCCAAAGAGAAATAGTCAGTCCTAACTCAAGTTACTGGGTAGTGAGTGACAAAGAGGATCTAACTGGAAATGCATGCGAGAGTTGTAGGAAGGATCTGATATCCTCTTTGTGGCTAGAAACACCAAACTACTGCAGATTTTGTGTGTTGCTTACTGTTGCATGCATGTTCTCCAATTCGCAGTGTTAGAAGATGGTGAATGTGAAACTAAACCCTATCGTATCCTCACTAAAGGATGCCAGTGGATATTAATCAAAACGACAAGTTCTATTTCCTACAATCAATGGAATTATAAACCAGAGTTTGTCCGTAGCACTCATTCTTTTGTAGTTAAAGGTAAGACCTTGAAAGAATTCGTATTTATAACCATAGCAGTCTACTCTATTTTTGATAGACAGTTTAGCCAAGTTCGCCGGCTTCGTGCGCCATGATGGGATTGTCCCTCCTATTATACATCTACTGCTATATGGATATATATCAAATTTACTTTTTTTCCCCGTTGTTCTTTCTTTTTCAATGATATCATTTTCTTAGAGAGAACGCCCGATGAACGAAATATTACGGATGATCATGATCATTACCCAACCAATGACTTTCAACAGAGTATGAAGAAGTATGAAACATTCTGCTCTAATGCTATGAATTATAATAAATAAACGATGGCTTTAGGTTAAATATGCGTAATCTTATAAAAAGGTTACCTTTGGGATGGTCTTACATAGGGATTTAAAAAAGTATTAGAAGGTGTGAATTAATTTAAACGCAGTGATTCGTGATGTGCAAACTAGCGTTATTTTTACCTGTCTACACGTAACCGGATTTATTTGTATCCGAAAACAGGTCGTCGCGTTTCCAAAGTTTCCGCTCTAGAGAGTGTTTTCAAAAGTTTGCGATAGGTCCTCAAACGATACTCAAAAATTAGGTATGGCTTCACTAAACGTAAGTCAATACGTTCAAGGCCTAATTTTACTTTGACCTCATTTATTATCACCTGCCATTATTACGTATTACCTATTAGACGGATTCAGCACGGAGAACGTGAACGTACGTCAAAGACGACATGAAAATGTCAAATAAATTTCCTGGTACGTCCATATATGGGCACATCGCGCAATTTATTCGTCATTTCAGGTCATCTTTCGACGTTGCCGTCCACAAGCTGAGGGCTGCTTTCCACATGCGCGTATTTCACACGTAACTTAAATCCTTTTATATGTTATCTTAGAAAAAAAAGTGAATAAACAAACTTAATGACTTCAGGTTGGCCTCCACTTGCACGTACGTACGCGAAATTGCACGTACGGCTTGTTTGTTGACGGCCGCCTTGAAAGTCGACAAAAATCGCGCAGCGTGCGCCTGCCTTATAAGCCTCGTTTTAAACCTGTGACTCATGTCTCAGTAAGTCCGCGACTCGGTGCAACTATTGTTGCTTTATGTTGTCACCAGAGGTCTCGCTCAAATCTGGTTTTCACTATAGCACAGCAGAGATCAAAAAACAAGAGACTATATATACAAAAAACAAAGCAGGAAATATATAATTATTTTGAATTTTTTTGTCTTGTCGATGCTTGTGTCGCACGGTGATAACTGATTGGCTTTCAGCGTTTTATATTTCATCTTTCCCTAAGGCTGGATTTCCACTTAGAAAGAATTGGACCGGCTGACCATTTTGGCCGCTCATAGTTCGTTTGCGAAATATTTGCATATTTTCTTTAGAATTTTAACAGCATGCATAAATAAATTATTTCAACATGACTGCTCTCAATTCAAAAGAAATTATGCAAATATTTCGCTAGCGAACTATTCTCTACTAAATCCACCCTAATACTTATGCTTAATATGGCGCAAGGGAAAACCAGGCAATGATAATTTTGATTGCTTTGAATGTCTATTGTGACAGTTCACCCCTAGTGGACCACAAATGATGACTGAGACCCCGTTTACACTGGAACGAAAGTTTCCGGATTCATCACGAAAGCAGAATGTTTTAAGACCGGATTCATGTTGCTGTTTACACACGCAGCAACGAATCCGATAGAAAATGATCTCGTTTTTAAGCCGTATCCGGAAACTTTGAATCTGTAAAAGTTTGTGGAAACTTCGTATCCAGAAACATTTGAATCCAGAAAATTTTCTTGTGTAAATGCTTTGCACGATGAATCCGAAAGAAATTCAATATGACGACTAAACAATTCTCCAAGAACAAGTAATTTGAGTGTGAACGGACAAATCCGCATACAGAGACAACTAAAGTGTAGTGTAAACACCTGACGAATCCGACACATGTGTGTAACAATGAATCCGGATAATTTTACAAATCCGGAAACTTTCGTTCAAGTGTAAACGGGGTCTGACTTAGCGAAAGGATTCAAAGGAAGGCCAGGAAAAGCCATACTGCCATAGGCTCCGGCGCTGGAGCTGCACGCGTGCGTTGTGAATGCATCATGATTCCGCGTTTTATAACGCGCCAGTTGACAATATGCAATATTTCAAAACGTTTCACGAGAATATGATACTTAAAATCCTAATTAATTTTATATAATACCATGTATGCACTCATTCATAGCAGATTAACATGCTGCACTGAGCTGAGAAAGTGAGATTGTACTAAACAAAGGGTTGACTATGCTTGGAATCATAGCTGTCGTCTTAATTCTTCCAATCCTTGCAGGATATTTGGTTTGGATATCGTGGAAACGTCTGACATTTTGCCAGATTTTGTCGCCGATACCAGGCCCTAAATCATGGCCAATTGTTGGCAATGCATTGCAGTTTGATAGAACACCACAAGGTAATGTTTGCATGTGTCTTTATAAAACATGGCGATAAGTATAGATAATGGCGATACGAGATGGAAGGATTAGAATATTAGGATTTTAAGAACAGAACTATTACGCGAGAAAAGTATTCATTAAAAGTATTGCAGCAGTGTGTGATTTAGGAGCAATGCTCTCGGAATTAAACTGCATAGTTTTAAAAGTCGCATTTACAATTTTTTTAATTACAATTGCAAGTTTCTTGCATTGTTTCATCACTATTACTTGTGATGTATTTTCATCCAATTTTATGATCGATATATTTACTTTTATCATCCAATTTTATGATCGATATATATATATATATATACTTAATCGGGTATTTCGGCGAATGTTATAGGTTATACACGTATATATGTCGCTGCATTGTAATGGAACTTCAATACCAGCACCGCCTTATCAAATCTCATTCTAAGATTAGGAATAGTATTCCTGGATACTAAGTAAACAGTGAGATTATTATTCATTACAAGTATGTTGGCTACTCACTACCAGTCCTCCTTTTTTTGTTGCATGCTGTCAGTTCAACAATGAAAATGCGTATGGCCTATGGGTGCGAATTCTTTTATAAGTTTATACCTTGACTTGATGCAAATCATCGAAGAACGGGCGCAAGGACTCATTTTGGGGAATGTATATATACATACAGTATGCATGGGGACTGGCCACGCACTCATTACTCACTTGCTGCGAGTACTTGCATTTGATATAATTAGTACAAAGAATTTTTATTGGAATGAAACCCTGATTTATGTTGTAGTCATTGAAAGGGATGAAAAAGTCTTTAAGCCTGATTCTCACAGGTCAGAGACAGTCAGACAGTCCACTCAGCGAAGGCTGTTGTAAGCCAGGCGGACATGCACGATTTTAGTCGACCGACTTTAAGAGTTTAAATAAGTAATATCAAACGATTTTAGTGATATCAAACTGTTTTGATATGTTACGATTAAAAATGACACTGACCGCACACGCAAGGTCTGCAAGGACTATAAAGGTCGACACACACCGGACGCGATGCGGCAACGCGACGCAAATTTTCATATCGTTAAATAATCTATACAAGAATATTATGATAGCTTAAAATTCATTTGCTTTTGGAAAATCACACGCTTTGAGAAAAGCGCCGCGTTGCTAAATCTCGTCCGGTCTGTGTGGGTCCAGCCTCGCGTGGGCCTTAAAACGACTAAAATCGTACGACAAAAATCGCGTCGTGCATGTGCGACTTGCTTTAGCCCCGGTTTTTGCATTTGGCAGAAATCGAGTAATGTTCAAGGGAACTGAAACAATGGTTAAGTTGTCATCGCGATACTTCGGCTGAAAAACATTTAAGGACGGCGCACACTATAAAGCTATGTGCTTAGCAAAAAGTCATTCTTGCATGGCCATTCTAAGCCAGTTGCTTTCGTGTGTGGACGACATTCCGGCGACTTTTGGCACGAATGCTTTTTGCTAAGCACATAGCTCGTGTGCACCGGCCTTTAGAAATTAGAGCTTGGGGATCTGGTTCTTACATGTCACCGACTGTCGGCTATTGTCGCTGATGACTGCCGAATAAAATGTTGTTGCATGGGAAGCCAGGCATTTCAGAAAAAGTGCTTTAGTTTTTCAGGGCAACTCCCCGAAAAATGCATGTGTAAACAGTTTAAGCAACGAAAATTTAATTCAAAGCTATATATATATGTTTATAGATCAGACCTATCCGAAAACTTGTCACTCAATATTGCGCTGGCACCATCGTCATTAGCAAGACCAAAATATGTCGACTAGAATATTATCAAAGAATCAACTAGGCTTATAACTTTGTTTACATGTAAATATTATCGATGTCATTTAAATACCCACGATACTCTAAAAAGCACTTTGTGTGATCCTCGTCTGAACGGAGCCGATAATTATAGGTAACTGTTAGGTAACTTTCGATTCGCTGTGGCTACGGAATCTAGTGCGACTACGAGATTTTTTCGGTCAAATATCTGTTGCTATACACATACACAGTACAGGCTTTTAATCGTCCTTCAGTTTTTGCATACCTCATCCTCATAACAACATTTGTACCAAGCCGATAAAAGTATATAGCGATACGGATAGCAAGTCTAAGGGCTGCTTTTGAACCAAATTCAGGGACATAGCCAATTGTTCGCAATGCGTCGTAGTTTGTGTTTGCTGGGTTATACCACTGAGATTATTATATTAAATGTCGTATATGGATGGCCAAACTAACGGTATATTTACTCACTTCACAATTATATACGACCATGCAAGATCAATGCAAATTGTTTAGTCGGTCGACGTATGGACATCCTAAAAACATTTTAGGCAAGCGAAACATTAATGCTGTAAGTTATCCTTTTATAGGTTTTCATGAGCAATTAGTGAAGTGGGCAGAAGAATATTATTCAAATGGCTATTTTTGTATGTGGATTGGACCAAAACCTTACATTGTTGTTTTTAAAGCAGAATATGCTGAAGTGAGTGCTCCATATACATGTAAATACCTCATGTTTATTTGATGCTTAGTGTCATTCTGTGTATTTTTGTTAATAATTTGCAGGTAATTTTATCAAATCAGAAAAACATTACCAAAAATTATGGTTATAAACTCATGGAACCATGGCTTGGAACAGGTGGCGTTTTTCTTACTACAATGTATTATTACTATGCAATGTATCGATTTTTAAACTTTCAGAAGCCCGTGGGGCAGCAAGAACAATAATTTGTGGTGGAGGGGGCAATATTCAATATTATTATATGTTCTGCATCATTTCATTCTTTTGAAATCAATTGTTCTTACGGCATGTGAACTAAAATATATGAATATCTGCCCCCCTTGATATTCCTTCCATGTCTGAAGCACCTTCCATGATAACACCCTTTTTAAGAGTATCAAGTTTGGGCACCCACCCTAGTATACTAAAGATAAGATGCTGGGGGATCCATTTGTTTTCCGGAAGTCTTGTAATTATATGTCATTAGCACGTTGGGATATATTATATTCGACAAAGAGGTGTAACTTTCACACTGGTAAGTTAACTGCATAGAAACATCGAAACTTGCTGTTGTGTTTGGTTTTTTTAATACTATGAACTAAAAATTACTAACAGGTTTTTTCTCAATGCTTGTACATTTTGCAAACAATTATCGAATGGATACCCGATATGCCCTACCTCTTAAGGTACTACTTGTCGAGAATGTTTGCCCCCAAAACTACGTAGTCCTCCCAGGTTAACAATAATAAAGATATTTAATAAAGTTCAATCGCACGTCTCACAATAACCCCAAGTCTCACACGCACCCTTTCACCATCGTGGTCACAGTCACACTAACACGTTTGATTGGATTCAAATAACTAACCTAATTTCCCCACAATTAACCGCTACTCAAATTACTTAATTAATGTCTGTCAGTCTCCAACATACTCTTAAAAAGAGTCAAAAACTTGGAGGGGATTGTATGAGAGAATACGATATTGTTATTAATATATTGGGCTATGCTGACCTAATCATTTTTTTATTATTTTATCCTAGGACTCCTTACAAGGTAGGAAATGTTCGTACATTTCGTCAATCAGTCAATACATGTAAAATACTTCTCTATACTTCGCGGTACTGCGATCGGCATTAAATTTACTTCACTTCTTATTTAGTACTGGAAACAAGTGGAAATCAAGACGTAGACTGCTCACTCCAGCTTTTCACTATCATATTTTGGAAGACTATATTCCAGTATATTTGACACAATCGTCCACTTTAATCTCACTACTCAAGGTTAGAATTTACCAGTTTCATTGATGATTTTGCTTATTACCGAAGGCGACGATTTACAATAAAAAACAAAATTAAATAACGACCAACGGGCTTGTTGAGTTTACTCCATCTTCAGGTTATAGATTTATACGCACAAAAACAGCTTAAACATGATTTTAAGAGTTATAACGTAACGTAAGTTGTCAGTAAAAACTTGCAGTAAAAAACTGTGTACGATAAAAGACGTTGTCTTTGGCAACATAGGAGAAGGCAGGCAAAGGTGAATTTGACATCGCCCCATATCTTCGTATGTTCACCTTGGATGTAATATGTGGTACGTATATAGCTCACTCAATTTATTACCACGCCACTTGCTAAATTGGGTAACCATACCAATTTCATTCATTCTGAGACTACCAATACAAATGCCGAGCACGGCTGAAAATGGTACGCATTACGAGTACCCATTTTACATAACTACGGCAAACGATTCGTCATTTTCAAATCCTTATAATTAAAGATATAAATTCCCAAAAAATTTAAGTGCGTTGTACATATATACTGTTGCTTTCATCGTTTCCAAAATAGAGGCAGCAATGGGTGTTAAAGTGAACGCACAAAATGATAATAATTCCAAATATGCTTCAGCTGTTCTGAGGTAATGGTAAACATTTTATCATTTAATACATCAATCGCCGATTACATCGAACTGACTTTTGGCTTTTTAATCGTTTAAAGCATAAGTGAACTGATACTTGAACGGTGGAGATCTCCATGGCTGTCGACAGACGCCATTTACAATTTGACATCATCTGGAGCCCGACAAAAAGCTATTTTAGAAACACTACATAGCTATACTAACAAGGTATGTAACGTCACAGTTTTTTTTATATTGTTTTGTATGTGTTCATTCGTGGTGTCGTCCTGGTCTCCACAATGCAATAGACTAATGCAGAAAAGCGGCCAGCAGAGGTCTGGAACCCATCAGCATTGCTCCTTTCGGTGCTTGAGGGTCCTATATATGGAATTTGGGATGGATGTACTGCGGCAAGGATGTTTTCCAATAGTGGAATAGTATCCGTGAGTCAAAAATTTTAGGAAACAAATGGTTTCGCATTTTAGGTGATCAGCGATCGCATTGAGCTACGAAAACTGGATAAAAGCAAAAATGAAAAAACTCCTCCAGGCGTCGAGCCAGTGAAACGACCAAGAAAAAGGAACAATTTCTTAGATCTCTTACTTGATGAATGCGATGTCGGAAACATAACGATCGAAGGAGTGAGAGAGGAGGTCGATACTTTCATGTTTGAGGTAAGTTATTTCAAAATATACAGGTGAACACTTTTAGGTAGGTTATATATAGTTAGAAAGATTTTGTGTGAATGGTTTGTTGGAAAAAATCCAATGATTGATCGATGTTAGAACCAGCGCCCTTTACTATGAGCAGCACTCGTGGGGCCGGACCCTGTTTGTCAGGGTTTGGCGCGCATTTGTTCCGGAAATAAAATCCGTGATTTCCATGATAACTTAATAATATTTATGCATGTTGCTAGTTAATATTTCTTGGCACTACCCTTGTGTACATTCGTAGTTGAGTCCTCCTGGAAGAGGAGAACCAATATAATCACCAATTATATTAATACATGCACGTTCTAGGGTCATGATACAACGGCATCTTCATTACAATGGGCAGTGCATATGATAGGAAGACATCCGCAAATTCAAACTCAATTACAGAATGAAGTTGACAAATTTTATGGTAGGAAAACTTTCTTACTAATATTATACAACATTATGTCGGGAATTCGATATTGAGGGAAATTTTGTTGATCTATTTACTTTGTCATTATATATAGACACTCATGGTGATGAAGTGGTTAGTGTTAGTCAACTGAAAGAGTTACAGTATCTTGAGTGTGCGATCAAGGTAATGGTGTGGTTACAGATAGCTGCATGCAGATATGTCAGGTGTCATGTGACTCATGTCAACTAGCTGCCATGAAATTTACCTGTAGCCATTGGCTATTGCTATAAGCATTCTTATCATATGCACATAAACACGCGTGTAACTGTTTCCATTTGTAACTGATTCTAGGAGACGTTACGTTGTTTACCATCGGTGCCACTGATTGGGCGAGAAATAACTGATGACTGTGAGTTTGGTAAGGAACAGCGATGAGAAATGATTTTGAGCTTAGCAACATCTAGTCATAACTAATCATAGACAAATCGTAACTATTTTTCAGGTCCTCACTCTATTCCAAAAGGTTGTGCAATTGTGTTGCTAATGAAACCAATACATCAAGATCCCAACGTTTGGGACGAACCCAAAACATTCAATCCCGATCGATTTCTGTTAGACAACGTGACCGAAAAGAATCCTTTTTCCTATATTCCTTTTTCAGGAGGACCAAGGAATTGTATTGGTAAGGGACAGTAAGGGAAATTAAATTTATCGATACAGGATTTGAGTAGGGTTTCTAACTGTTCAAGATAAGTATATATTGTGTTCTAACAGTCACAGAAATGAGCAGAAATAAACCTCAGAAAAATGATTTAAACAAAAAATTGAAAAGTAAATCAACTCGGTGATAAGTTCAAAATTGAAAACAAAATCCATCTATTTATTGAACAACCGAGCTGAAATATTTTGATGTAAACAGTCTCATTGTCAATGGAAGTACATATTAAAATCAGTGCATAAGATGCAGGTTCAGTCATTCACAAGATCTAGAGTATTTCTATAAACTTTGGCTTATGCACCGTTTAACTCAAGCTAAACGTCTTTCGAACAACCGGTTCCTGGCATGTTATACGCCATTTTTGAATCGTAAATTGTTGTATGGTTTATGCATTTAGAATTGAAGCGATATGAGTTTGAAGAAATTAAATAAATTTAGTAAAATAACCTTACAAGTAAAACACTTATTTAGTAAAATAACCATAACATTTTAGGTCAAAGGTTTGCAATGATGGAAGAGAAAGTTGTTTTGTCGTCAATACTTCGCCATTTCAATATAAAGTCAACTCAGATAACTGACAATATCAAAGTAACTGCGGATGCAATTTTATCTTCAGTTGAGGGAATTTTGGTGGAGTTAGAGCCAAGAAATGCTTTTTGAAAACGGTTACACATACACCGTGAACTGATTATTCAGTTGGGTTCAGACATGTGGTCTGACAACTATATAGTGAATTGTGACGTTATAGTATAAACATATGCATGGGTGTTTCACTGATATACTTACTTTGTGTCCGGTGACAATGAAGATATACTATCATATCGTGATATAATCTTTTAGGTTCGCTTAGTTTAATTCATTTATGATTGAAAATTGCAATTGTGCATGGGTATATTAGTTTTCCATATACGGTGAATGTTTTCCATTCGATTATTCAGTTCTTTCTGAAATGTGGAAAAGTCTAGGAAGCCGGCGTCAAATCGCCGCTACTGGTGAGATTAGCATAAACCATAAACAGTGCATGAGCATGTGATATAATAAAAATTACCTTCTGTTTGGGGATGCAGTGATATAATTTTTAGGATATTTTTAGCATAGTTTATCATTTATCATCATTCATCATCATTTATATATACAGTATGTTCCAAAAATATACCCTTAACAACAAAAGAATCATTCAATACCCCCCCCCGGCCAGGCACACGGCACAAAAGCGCACCCGCAAGAACGCGCGCGCGCACCCCCGCCCGGCCGGCCCCGAAGAATAACATTTTGGAGAATACTTTATTCTCAGGTACATTAGGAAGATTTCATTGTTGGAATTTCAAAATCATGTTTACTTTCACTTTTCCGCTGGACCTGTCAGAAGCTACAAAACGGATGTTTCTTCCAATCAAAATCCATAAATAAATAAGTTTGGACTTATTTTGGCAGAAGAGAACTTGACTAGCCTCGTTTTTGTGTAACTCGCTACAGGTCTCTTGCTCTTTTTCGAATAGGTCGATGTTTTAAAAAAGATGGAAGAGACAATCTCATTGAGAAGGTATAGAGCTCTAGTCCAGCCAAGTCCTTAGGTGACAGGGTCACATCACATCTAGTCAATGAGACAATTTGCTCCTACCTATCTCCTTCAGATGACCATATCATTGTTGTATCGGTGTCGATTTGATTTTTAGCTGGATTTGTACGCTAGTTGCAGTTCGGTACGTTCAGCCCGCACGTATTTACCAAACATGTGAGCGATGTGCAGAGCCCATAATTTTTCAATGCTAAAGTGATGAACAAAGGTTTAGTCATTCACAAGATCTACGAGAGTATTTTTTAAAGTTTGGCTTGTTCACAGTTTAAGCTAAACGCCTTGCAAACCAACCAGCCCCTGTATGCTAGGGATGACCGCTAAAATGCCTTTAAACGCCGCCGCTATTGTCACGACGACACGTTTCCCGAACAAAATTTTCTTTCGGTCGTGTAATCAGGTTAATATAGGGTAGCCTAAATTACCTGGATTTTTTTTTCAAAAACAATGCCCAATTAACTGTGAAATTTGATTTCCACGGATTTTGTGAATAAATCGCCTGGTTTGAACATACACATAGAACAAAATTCTAATTGCAATGAATGGCGATGTGGGCTATAAATCTGCTATAATGGCTAATAATGCTACTATATAAGTGCTTACCTTGTGACCGCGCGGTGATTCAAGAGACGCGTCAAATTACAGCAACTTCAAGATAAAACTGGAATATTTAAACAGAAATATTTCTAAACATTAATGGCCCAAAATATGACATAAATACTAAGAAAATAGCGTAAAATCTAACGTATGAATTAAGACATACACAATGCTGTCTAAACAGACCGACGATAAGCTACAATGTCAATGAACATAACTGAGGGAACGTACCCTGGTCAGAATCATTTGACAATAATAGGACGACATATCGGACAGCTAGTCTTAGATGAGACATGAACAAAAATGATCGATCTTCATCGATTATCAATATTGTAGAACGGGCTTTCTTCATATTTCGCTGGAGACAGCGGCCCTCGCTCCGATGTGCAATTCGGCCATGCATTTTGAATGCATACCACACCAGTGATTAGCTACTGTCGAAGTACGTCCCCATGATTGGCTGGCGAAACAGCGGACCAATTTGCTATACTAGTATAAAAGCACCTAACTAGAAACCCATGCATTTGGGATTACTTATTACATTAATTATTTAAGTCCTGCCGGTTTCATACGTCGAGCTTCGAACGCATTAACAACAATAGATAATAAGGCACCTCAACTGGCTATTGAATACTTACGTGGTGTATCTACAAGATAATCTACTTATTGGTTATCTATTGTTTTTAATATGCATGCTTACAAGAGAAGTGCAAAGGAACTAGCCTACCCTGTCTATGTTTGTTATTGATCTTTTAAAGCCACACAAAATTGATATTCTGGCGTGTTTAATTAAAATAAGATATTAAGGCCTATATATATAATACAAAAATCTTCAGCCAAGAAAAATAGTAAAGATAAAAATTTAAAGTAATATTTTCCTTTGATCCCCACATTCTCCGCGGGGACTGTCTCTTAGCTGTGTGCTCGAAACCAACTATATACGCAAAGAGCGGCTGTTCAAAAACCGGTTAGCCTTTCGTCTTCCCGGAAATCGTTCATTTTCCACACAGAAATGAACGGCTCTTTACAACAAACGACAGGAAAATGAAGGTTAACCCAAGCGTGCATTCAGGGTTTCTTAGCGCTATTAGACAACCATCTAATAACGGCCTTATACCTGCATGAATTGGTCTGCACTATATCCATGCACTATATTGTTACCAGTGCTATTCACATATTTGATCACACTTCAAAGTCGCGTTCGTTTAGGTGGATATGAAAAACACAATGCAAAGGCAATCGAAACATATAGTTCGTCAATAAGCCACTCAAGCATCAGATAAACTGAATTAAAGCGTTGAAAAACTTCGTGAGTAAGATCAAGAGCTGAGCAAATCCTGGACGCTCTTCTCCAGATAAAGCCCAGCAATACCCCATGATTGTAAACAAATCATCCGGACACCCAGTGGGTTGACCTAAACGATGACCGTTCTTCAGGTAAAATACCATTTCAAAGGCATCAATACTGTTGTATGGTTGTTGACCCAACGTTATCAGTTCCCAGAGAGTTACACCAAACGACCACTGCAAGAAATCAGAAAGGTTTTTAAAATGCTATATTACGGGCCGGCGACAAATAGATTTCTTCCACTGGCCGCAGGCATGAGGAGGGGGGGGGAGGGAAGGCAGCGTCAGCTTAGAATCCGCGATAGAAATGAAAATAAGACCATTTGTGTAAAAACATACCACATCACTCGCTGTTGTAAACCTATGTTGTTCCAGACTTTCTACCGCCATCCATTTCACTGGCTTGTTTTCATTATCACCCAGACAATGATAGTCCATTGGAAATAAATCTCGCGATAGGGCACAGTCCGTTATCTTTATGTGAAACTCGTCATCAATCCTAGGACAATAATTTATAAACTGTGTTGAATAAACAGAATTTATGTATACTGATGATAATGATAAATTTTAATCAATCTCTATCATTAACGTGGGATACGATTTTTTGCAAACTCTGCACCTACAAGCAATTCCGTGTTGCCAAATCTTTGTGAACCAAATTTCGCATCTCTAAGTACAACATTCCATTAGCAATCTGCAAGGCCATGTCAATCAAATCACGCGTGGTCACACTCTGCAATAAAAAACTTCATGAAAAATGTATCGCTTTTAAACCATCAAAACCTCACTTTAAACAACGCGTGATTCATACATGCAAACCAGCTGAAAATTCAACGAACCTTTTCCAAGCCTGTTCCTTCAGGTGTTCGCGATTTCTTGAGGAAATTTTTCAAATTTCCCTGGTTCAAAGTGGGTGTAACAACGAAGGGACGATCAACATCCTCTTCTGATAGACATACGTATGCTATAGAGCATATGTTTTGATGATTCAGTCCTTTCAACATGCTGCCTTCGGCCAAGAGAAGGCTTGCTTGTTCTTCAGATGCTTTATCTTCATTAAAATAAATTTAGTGCTAAGTGATTGGAGAAATTAAGCTTCAATTAGCAGCTGGTGGACTAAAGATCAACTTACTTAGTGACTCGTTTGGAAAGAATACGATGTTACATGACATGTCAGCGTTATGTTCGAAACTCAATTTTGGAGCATCCCCGTAATTCACCGAACATTTAAATTCAAAACAAACTTAAATCACCTTATGACAAATATATGTGGGGAAAGGATGTGCACCTCTCCTGGAAAATTTGCACACACCCCTAAAGAAATTTGCAAACCCCCTTTGCAAAATAATAGAAAACTGGAATTGGCTAAGATTTAAGAAACTGAGGATAGACTAATGACGGAACAGATCAAAATGATGATTATATTTTTTTTATAATAATGATATTTCATTGCAGAAACAAAATCTCCCTCGTATTTTATTACTAAAGAACAGGAGAGCGTAACGAGGTTTTGAGGAGGGTTTTATGAAATTAGCCTTAGTAAACAAGTACATAAGTATACTCTAGCAACAAACCTGAAACAGTTTTGACAACAACATGCTGGCCCTCGCCATCTTCAGGACCTGTCACCACGGCTTCGTATATCTTACCAAAGGTTCCCTCTTGAATCACCTCACCCAAAGAAACACGCGATCTGTCCAACACGATGTCTTGCAGTTTATCACGAATTTCTTTGTTTCGTTTCTCACGAAGTGGAACGGTATCCTCGGGATGAAGCGGATCCTGCGGTATTTGGTTGCCAATCGTGGAAGTTTCAGCAGGCTTGGGAACAATCACTGTATTATAAATTTGAAGAAATAGAAAAAAAAGAAAATAAATACAGTAATGGGAACCTGATTATAGTATTCATACGCCATACTTCGCCCAGAGGAAGAACAAACATGACATCAGACAAAGGATCGGGGCCCATAGGGGTGCTACCCTTGCCTTGATCCTTGATCACTTCACCACAGGAATGCTCGGTGTGGATATGAAATTCATTGTCCATACGGGTGAAAGTGGTTACTCTCTCAAAGACGTTGTTTCCCAGTTTCAGCCTGTGAGCTACAAGGACATTATTGACTAGCATCGGTCACATTATAAACATATTTTGTTACCTTCGTTATTAATAATTGTAGCAGGACAACCAACAGGCCCCAGACGATCAGGTGGTAGATACGTGTGGCGTAAAACTGGAACAGTAAGATTCACAGGTCTCGCGTTTTGCATTACACGTGGGGGAGGTGGCCTAGGAGGTGGTGGTCTTAAAGGACGTCTTGGTGGCTCTCTAGAAATGTTGTAGAAGGAAATGTTTACAAATTATTCATTTCTACATTTTGACAAGTTTATAGCACGAGGCTTTCCTATGCAAACAAGTAAATACTATGGGCAACCTAAGGAAGCACTAGCTGGTAAATAGGGCTTTCCAGCAAACATACAACCAGCCCTTAACAGCAGAACATTACAGGAACATTGGAGCTACACATAAGAATTTCTGCATATTTCACACAACACACATTCAAATTCCTATTATTTAAGTTAATACGTGCAATTAATTTACTGCACCTTTCTTTGTTTTTATTAGACTTTGGTATGGACTGCATGTGTAGTACAGCAATAGTTCCTGCTAGAGCTATGATGACACCACATGCTAATGCAACACCAATATAAACAATCTTTTTGTCATTCCAAACAGAATCTGGTTCACGCTTTTTGCTTTGTTTATCTTCAACCTCATCATAGCTAACATCTGTATCTGATGAAAACAATATTAAACTGAGTAAATAATTGAATTTAAAATAATTAAATAACTGAATAAACAATTGGTTTATACTGTAGTCCATGCTAGAATGATGATGAGTACCACAAATGACAAAGTGCCAATAGTAATAATTAGAATCACAAAATCACAGTACATTTAACACAATATTTTGTCCTTTTAAACAATAAGCTTGTAATGTTGGCCCGCTGCCAGCCGGTTATATTGATATGAATATCTATAGATACACCGCCTTGCTTCTTGTGAGTACATTGTGCTGTGATACAGAAATCTAAAAATTGAAAAAGACATATATACAAACAGATATTAAAGTGTTTAACAAGATCAAATGTCACAAACATGCCTCAATTTGTATATACCTCTTTTCTTTTTTGAAATTTGTCTATGCTGCTTTGGAACTTTGATTTCAACCATGTTTGAAGCATTTAGCACAATATAAAAATCGACGAGTAGTTTATTCTAAATGAAATAACAACAAATTTGTATAACAGCACAATACCAAAAAAATGTTACCAATGAGACATTTTGATAAAAACATGAAACCTTGCACAAATTTGTAAGCATATCTGTATACTCTGCAGGCAAACTATTTATATGTGCAGGTATGATTGATTTTGTTAACCAGTGCATTACCCAGAGTTAAGGTTGCTATTATTTGGAAACTACATACCTTCATGTCTGTAGCTTTCCAAGTAAATGGAATACAATTTTCCGATGTTGGAATATTTATAGGATATGCAATTGCATTCACTTTCTTCTCACCATTTCTCACAAAGTAGAAATTAGCCTCATCACCTAAACAAACATATTCTCATAAGATAGGTGCTCTACAATTGTATTGTACAACCTACTTGTAATTGTATTCATATACCTCGAAACAAATACCGGGTATGCCTTATTCTACTTTCAATCAACTATGAACCCTACAATTTTTACCTTCATTGAGTGAAAATGCCAAAATTACTAAAATTAATCTAAAATTCACCCTTATCCATTCTTAGCATTACATTTTTATAATAGAAATTTCCCTTTACTTTTAGCTAAGTGGCCAGAACCATGTACCAATGCTGTAAATTATATAGTATATATCACAATATATATACTACAATTCTGAGTTTTAAATTATTTTATATCTATTTAATTTTTCTACCAACTTAAGCTCGTTGAATACTGTGAAACAAACTTTATCAGACAAGATCATATTTCAACAGTTTCGATCTGTAGGTAATGTATTTTTCTTTTAATTAACACATGTGGGCTGTTCATAGATTTCTTAGCTAGACAGCACAGCCTGTACAGTATACATGCAGTAAATGAGTAAGCTATTCAATAGGAATATTAAAAGCTCATGTTTTGTAGCTGCTTCATGTTGGGTATAAATTTGTCCTAGTGTTATTTGGAACATTCTATTTTAGCCAAGCTAAAAACTGTTGCGATTTGACGAAGACAGCCAACTAAAAGTCCTGAATACAAACAAACATATTTCATAAAATGTAATCAAAATAGAAATGGGTGATGTGGTGTAAAGCGCTAATTTGTGGGAGCATCCACACAAACTATTGGTTTAAAGACTGGAATAATATAAGATTGTGTGAGAAGCAAGAGACAGATGTTATACATTGAGATACGCGAAGGAATACAATAGTCGAACAAAACTCACCAAAAATTTTCTTACTCTCCGTTGAGTTGATATACAGATCATAATTCCCGTAACATAGGTGAGCATACACAAGAAACGCAAAAATAGAACTCCACAAAGACATGACTAAGGTTTTGTCACCATATATTATACATTATTCCGATTCGATAAGTTGTATAAGTACGTTCAAATGTCAAAGGAATCTCATGAAAAAAACTTTCATTCCATCTGGTTTGTGTTTATCATGTACCTTATTACCCCAATTAGTTCTCGGATATTGCCGTAAACACTCGGATCCTTTCGGACTGGGAAATTCCTGATCTCAGGTTTGAGCCTATCCACTGGACGACCAGACAAAGATAGGCCGAAAGTCGGTCCCATTATAGGTCCATCATTCGGTTGATCACAAATTTTATCATGCTAATAATAAACGATGTAGCCTTTTAAAATATAAAACATTTGTTATGTTTCATCTACGGTTGCCGGAACATCCATTAAATCATCCTAAAAATGCAATTGACCATAGGTCCATAGCGAAAAAGATGGCGGCATGTATATTTGAGAATGCATTGCAGGCATAAATGCATTGCAAGAATAAATGACAGAAAAAAGATGGTAAGAAAGCACTTAATGACGTAGAAATTTGTCACTAGGAGGAAAATAACTTCCGGTTTTATGCATGTTCTTCAAAAGACATCAATTCGCTTTTTTAAACGATTTTCCAGCGCAATGCATTCTGGTTAAATGTAAATCCGCCATCTTTTTCGTTATGGTCAATTGCATGCATTTTGCAGTTAGAAGGATCGTAATAAACGATACAGCTTTTTATATTATGCGCACGCGCGATTTTGGATAGACAAAGTTGTGACACAGTTAATAAAATATTTGTTGTGTTTAAAATATTTGTCCCCTACGGGTTTCATCTAAACTAGCCTTACTATTTTCCTAAAATGTCCCCTAAATTTATATCTAAATAAAAGCTAAGTCTTTTAAAATATAACTTTTTGCGTCGTCCATCCAACGACAGACAATTAAGAATGATATTCGTGATTGTTTTTAAATCATAATCGAAAGCGACTTAACGACATGCACGTTTGACACGTCATTAATCCACAGTTTTCATGGAGCCACGTTGAGGAATTGCGTTCGGTTGGTTAGTACCTTGCCAATAAGTCCAAGTCGTCAGGGTTAAAAATATATATGTAGTATTCGCACTTAAATAACGTCGCATCCTGTATTACGTGCGTTTTATACACAAGTGTGCTATGCATTCCTTTACAATAATATATGTCGTTCATATTACTTTAATTGATATAATTGGAGGGTGAACATTTTATACACGACTGTATACTTTTTTCCTGGATTTGATTCGTCCCTTGGGGGTTCCACTTGGCTTCTTGTAACTAAAACGGATATAAAGGGTTTACCACGAAGTTAGTTTTATAATACTTTCACTAGGCCTAGTTCTCATTTCTCACCAAAGGTCACACAATGGTCACTGGCCACCAGCAACAGTAAATCACCGACTGCCGGTGACAATGAGCTTCTTCGTGAAACAATACTTACAGTTTAAGCAAGAGTGATGATAAAACGACAGATACAGATGATGCGGCCATGGCAGCACTTGCCATCCAAGGTTGCAGCACCAAACCCCAGTGATGAAATGCTCCAGCCGCAATAGGTATCCCAATTATATTATAGAAAAATGCAAATACAAAGTTCATTCGGATTCTCCGCACAGTCACTTTTGATAGATCAATCGCTGCTGGAACATCCATTAAATCATCCTAAAAATGCAATTGCATGCATACTGCAGTTATAGAAGGATCGTTCTATATCCCCCTGTAATAATAGAGCAAGAGAGTAACCGTCATTGTGACTGTATGCAAAAAAATTGCCGACCATACATAAAACGATAGTTTTTATGAAAACCCCCATCAAAATGCAGGATCGTAATAAATAGTTAAATGGACAAAAACTTTAGCTTGCACGCATTATAAATTTCTGAGGGTCCACCGTTATTGGATCTAGATTAACTTTGAGGTCATTCCCTTGCTGTACTTTATGCAAACTTTGAAATGGGAATTGGGAAATCACGTATAGCATAACATCTGGATAAGTCTCACCTTGATAAGCACAATATCTGCAGCCTCAACAGCCACGTCAGTTCCAGTTCCTATGGCAATACCAATGTCAGCGGCAACTAACGCCGGGGAATCGTTCACTCCATCACCAACCATTGCGACATTCTCACCTCGATCTTGAAGAGAACGGACTCTCTGAACTTTGTCCGCAGGTAGAACTTTGGCAAATACCTCTGTTATGCCAATCTAAACATAAACGTTGCTGGTTTAAATATAGAAAAAGTATAATTAAAGTTTCATTTCTTAAATTAATTTAGACTGGAACCAGGAGAGCCTTCCAGTGACAAATTAAGGCGTGTAGTTCTCAGGACAAACGAGTGAACTCTATTAAGACTGAATTGACGATGACTAACGGTTATTTAGCTGCCATCTTTAAACCGAATAAAGGTTCTACCAGTGCCACTCCCTTTTTATTGCTTTCGTCGGCGCGATTGCGTGTGCCCCGCTTAAAACAGACGAAATGGACTAGCAATGGTCCCTCATTTCAAATTCAAGTTGGCTTTAAAGATGGCTCAGTTATAGTTCCAGTTTACATAGAGTCCACTACGACAAACATTACGTACTTGTTGCGCAATCGCCCAAGCAGTTCGTGTGTTGTCCCCAGTCAACATAGCGACTTTGATTCCCATTCTTTGTAAGGTAGAGACGGCAGGTATGGCCTCTGGTTTTGGCGAGTCCGCTATGCATATCATGCCAACAATTAGATCTGAATTTATTAAAAGAAATGAAGAATTAGGGAGGATTTCCACTTAGAGAGAAATAGTTCGCTAGCGAAATATTTGCATATTTTCTTTTGAATTGAGAACAGTCATGTACTCATGTTGAACTAATATATTTATGCTGTTAAAATTCTAAAGAAAATATGCAAATATTTCGCTAGCGAGCTATTTCTCTGTAAGTGGAAATCCAGCCTTAGGGTTTTCAAACAGGCAGCTCGCATGCAAATAATTTGACGTTGCATATAAGTGTTGTACTGGAGCGCAACAGATTATTATTAAAGAATTTTCGTCAACCACAAAGAAACTCTGCAGCTTGTTACTTCACTAACACTACATGAATGTGATTGCTATGTTACTATATGAGAATTTACTTAATATTCAAATTCCAAATAACAGCAAGTAATGGCATTAGATCATTATATCCTTACCATCAATACAAACAAGTACAACTGTTTCGCCTTTTTCTTCATGTTCCATCATACTAAGATTTATTTCTTCAGACACCTCTTGCTTATGTTTCAACATCCATTCACGGTTGCCAATTTTCACTGAATATCTGCCATCAGACGATTCTAAAAAAAATTGCAGTTGTAATATACTCCTAAAATTTACACTGGATTTCTTCGAAGTTATTTATAAGTACGAACTTATTTACAGGCAAAAACATTGGTACAGTTTTCAGAAAACGCATTTGAGACGAGGTGTCTCTGCTATGAGATGTAGATTGATGAATTTATCTATGTAAACATCATTATATACTGTAGTTCGATGTATATCCAACTTTTGTGTAAAACAAACAGACTAGACCGTCCACTGCTGTAAATGTCACTAGAGTATGGTATTTTACCTTTAACCAAACTTCTTTGTTTCCAAACACTTCTATCATCTGCAATCACAGGAAAAGTAAATTAGGAGACTCGAATATGCCAAGGCTATGAAGATCTGTCCTGCATATTGCTCGTTTTAACAGACTATACTTTTCAGGCAAATAGGGAAACTATCTCGTTTCTCTCCTAAATTTTATTCAAACCTTACCTGCTGCAGATGTGGCAGTGTCACCTGTTTTCGTAAACTGTTGATCGATATCGTAAACAACACCAGACAGACCAAAGCCAGGCACAGATACGAACTTATCACACGATCCAAACGTACTCTTGCCAAATTTCTAGGATAAATTGTAATACATAATCTTTTTGTGGGGTTTTACAACAACCCCAGCTGCATGTAGCACCGGGCATGAACACATGCATGGCGGTGGTAAGCTATATTTTTAGGGTACATTTTAATACCTCACCTGTTTGGCATTATTTGTGATAGCATACGCGAGAGGATGATCACTGTTTGCCTCAGCGGCAGCGACAACAGCCAAGAAGAAATTCGCGGGACAAACCTCATCGTCAACGAACATGGAAATTTTCGTAACCGAAGGCGTTCCTTTCGTCAGTGTACCAGTCTTGTCAAAAATCACTGTGGTGATCTGATTTAGAAGGAGAACCATTATACATAGCACTTGAAATAGTCAACGATTTTGGTGGTTTTAACAATCTGTTTTTACAAAATATAACTTAATTCGTGATAAAGCACGTCTACAACTACTGTAATTAGCCACTACAGTTGAAACACTAACTTTGATGCAACACTACTAACTTTGTGAGTGGTCTCTAGCGGTTCTCCACCTTTAATCAATATGCCGTTTTGAGCCCCCACACCAGTGCCTACCATAACAGCGGTCGGTGTTGCCAGGCCCAAGGCACATGGACACGCAATACACAACACAGTGATGGCGGTTAGGAAAGCAAATTCCAATATCTCCTCTGTTTTGCTGGACTTGGATGGCTAAGAATCAAAGTTACACATTTTATAGAGTCAAAAACAACTTAATTGGCATTCAAAATGAAGGTGATTTTACACTATTATTAAAGTTAATAGAGATCAATATAAACTGTAAGAGCTGATAATGCATGAGGCTGCCCGCGACATATGTGATGGGATAGAATATGGGAATAGAATAAAACGAACTAGTTCTAAGAGGTTGTTATACTCAGACAGCTCTCTTTTATTTCTAAACTTTACTCTACGTTCTCATACAATCATACACTGCATACTGTATCGTGCATAACGAATATAATATTGTCGTCCTGTCGTCTGATGTACTTACATCGTAAGATGCATCTATGGCAGTTATATCAGTGTAACCAACAATGATCCAAACATTCAACGTGGCTATGGAAAGTATTACTATAACAGGGACAAAATACGCAGCTATGGTGTCTGCCAGCTTTTGAATGGGTGCCTTTGGGAGAAAGAAAGAATCTCATTAAAGACAATGTAAAAAACTAGCTAGTCTGTTAGGAGAGGAAAAGTGAAAGAGAGTGCATGTTTACGGTACCTTTGATGTTTGGGCCTCCTCAACAAGCTTCACGATCTGGGAAAGGGTCGTTTCCTCACCAACGTGAGTTGCTTCCAGAATTAACACGCCATTTTGGTTGATGGAGCCAGCAATCACCATATCTCCTACACGCTTTGGAACTGGCATTGACTCACCAGTGATCAGTGATTCGTCTGCCATTGATTCACCACGTACGACTCTGGCATCTACCGGCATTTTACCACCCGGCACAACCTAGTGAGTACAGAATATTAACGTGAAACTGACGGGAGAAAATTTTGAAATAGACAGCGAGGTCTATTATCTTATGGTAATTTTAATTCAAAATTCCTATTACCTTTAAAACGTCCCCACGTTGAACCAGGTCAACATTGATGGACTTTTCACCGGAAATATTATCGGTTGCAGGATCAATAGTACACAACGTTGCTTCTATTGGCTGGAGCGATAACAACTTTGCCAGAGCTTCCGAGGTCTTTCCTTTCGCGATATTTTCCAGCCAGCGACCCAATGATACAAACACTAACAACATTGGGGGAGTTTCGAAAAATGTTTTGGGACTTTTTGGAAATTGGAGCGCCATGGCAATTACCAACACTAAAACCTAAAATTAAGATGTTTAAGAGCTTGTGAATTGTACATAGTTCAATTTTTTACCTACGACACATAAGACTTAATTTACTGAAATAGCAAATGTTCATCTAACATTTTTAAGAGTTTTTTCCCAAGTATTACGTTTTTTAAAACTTTCATGTCTCCTGCCTATTTGAATCCTGTCGAAGATAAATTCCTTTTTATTGAAGAAAAGAGAACTGAAAATGACCATGCATTTAACGATTTGTGATGAATAATTCACGTAATGTGCAAACGTACCGAGTAGAGATACGCTATGGTTGTTGCCAACATGATTAAGACATCCATATTTGCCCCGCCATGTTTTATAGCTTTATAAGCTTGAATATAGAAGTACCTTCCTCCAAATATCTAAAAAATAAATTATTGTAGCCTTGTAGTACAGTAACACGTGTTTCCACATCGTAGCTAGCTTGTTACAAAAACATATTTCATTTATGAGTGGAATCCAGTGACCTGCTCATGCGATCAAAATCCGCCGAATTTAGTTCTTACAGACAACAAATATTGTTTTCAAGTTAGGAAAAAAAGATAGTACATACCTGGACTGGAGTACATAGTAGAAAATAAAGGAGATTTTCGAGTGATAGTCCAGGAATCAAAAGTAAAACGGGTCTTTTGCCGTGTATCTTCATCTCAATCATGTGATATATCATGATAACCATAACAGGTAATCCAAATATCAACGAAATGAAGAATGAACGTCTCCATCTATACATATTGGAGAGATACGATAAGCGATTATGTTATACTAAAAGAAAACACTGGAATTTTAATAGCTGCAGGTAAATATACTGTTCGGTACATTGGATGTGCGCATTCCAATTGTCCAGTCATGAAGTCAGTTTTGTTCCAAAAGGTTCACATCTAATTGTACATACCAACGGATTACCCATAACACGTGAACAAAAAATACCGTTTAATTTCCTCCGAGTGATCCAGGGCTTGCCCATGTTTGCGATCGGTCGCAAGTTCCGCACCAAATCCCATGTCGTTAATGTGGTCTATAATATCTCGCGGTCCAGTTAACTCAGCATCATATGAAACACGACCAATTGCAGTAGCGAGTGCTACCGACACATTCAGCACACCACGTTTCTTCTTTAGACTGCTTTCAATGTGATGCACACAAGACGAACATGTCATACCACTTATCTATCAATCAGTAAAATGGCAATATGTCGGTTGATTGGTTACACCCAGTGAACTCTAATAAGACTGGAACGCTCACTCTGTCGGAAGTTTGAAGCCAAGATGGCGGACACTGGAGCCTTTCTTGTAGGTATGATCCAGGCCTCCACGCGAAATTTCCGAGGTAAAATGGCGATTTTACCTTTGAAATTTCCGCACCAGAGGCCTGGATCATACCTACAAGAAGGGACTCATGAACCACAATCTTGGCTTCACTCATTAATGAGGGAAAGTCAGAGGGTGAGCGTTCCAGTCTTATTTGACTTGACTGGTTACCCCAAATTGAACTCAACAAACTCTATCTATAGCTATAGTTGATCACTGGTCAGCAAGATTACATGTAAAACTATGCACGGACCATTTACATGGTCATCCAATAGATGCCTAAAACCTCGCATTCGAGTCATCTAAAAGCCACGAAACGTACATCTCAAGCCGACCTGACCTTTTGCGTTTCGGTTGCAGTTATCAAGGAGTGTATTTGTAGCACAGAATAACAACATATTGATCTTATAATTTAAGAGTTGACTACAAAACATTTAAATATGAACAGTTTACGAATTTATCGTCCCAGTATTATCAGAGATCTATTAACATACATTATACAATGGTTACCACAGTGTGTAAATTAAATATATAAATAAATGAAATATATAATAATACGTACAATAACTTCCACATGACTTTGTGCTCCTTCATTGTGGCTCATAGGTTTGCTTTCAAATCCTAGGTCAACGATCCATTTGGATATTACATCTGGATTTGTTTTCGTTGGGTCGTACTTCACCTCAGCTTTCTGAGCGAGTAACCCCACCAGTACCGAAATAACCCCTGGGGAAAAGGAAATTCACGACGTTAAAACATGAAGGTAAAATTTCCCCAAACCTTGATGGCATCATTAAGTTTTATCGTATAAAAGAGATAACATGGATCCCTCCAAGCCATTTCCACGCACTAACCAAAATGGCATGCTTTCGGAAACATTAACCCAAAAACTTTATGAAATGTCAATAAAATGTAAAGAAAGAAAATACAAGAGCTAGGGACCTTGTTGAGTAGACATGCAAAATACAGTCGAGCCGTTTGTTATAGAATAATACCTTCTTTCTTTAACAAACTTTTTTCGATCGTAGCAACGCATGACGCACATGACATTCCAGTCACATGAAAGAATGCCTTGGTTACGAGTTCAGGGTTGATATCCACATGGCCGTTGCGCTTTGTTTTGCCTTTAGGAACGTAGGACGCCTCCCATTTCCCGCTTTTTTGAAACAACAATTGCTGTTCCTCATCGCTGCATTCATCTACATCTGAACCATGATCAATGGCATTGTATTTCACGTCTTGAAAATCCGCTTGAACTAAAAAGACGAAAAAACGCATTTTAAAGATATGGCTATTCTATATATGTCTATGTATAATTACGTATATCCACGCAGACTATATACTTCAAACCAACACTAACAGGACATTCATTACGTTACATGAATTTTGGCAGCTTACTCCGACCAGCAACGTTCTCAGATTGCAGAGGCGTAAGTTCAATTCCTACCGAAAGACAGAGTCCTAGTGCGGCTGCACTTTTATCTTAATATCGCAATATTTGACAATTTTATACTTATATATGCCTAGTTTTATAAAACAACCATTCAACAATAGTGTTATCAGCTTACATGCATGTTTGTTGTCAATATTTGTTAAATTATGTCTATAAAGCATTCAATTAGTGAAACTCTATATAAAAATACTCACTGCAATATATTGTCATACAGGCTCGGTGAAACGCTTCAAAAAACCCAGTTTTTTAATAAAAATAAAAATACGTGGATTGCTTGGAAATATAAATGGAATTTTTTCCTCGTGTTTAGAATAATATTCTAACACCCGAAATAAACCCCAAATTCCAAGCATCATGCATATTTTTCTCTATTTATCTCATTTTGATCGCATTTTTGTATGTCCTGAATGAATACATGCATGTCTTTCATTTAACAACTATGAGTGTATGAAACGCATAGGTTGCCAATTGCTATGGAACGATTGTCTTTCACAAGGCCACAATACAATATTTGTAGGTCCAATGCAATATTCTCGGCCATGGTAACCGAATGAAGCGGTGAAAAATGGCGAAAATCCCGCCAAACAGGAACTAAATGTGCATGTACTCTAATCTATAGGTCGGGAATATAAGGTCTAACTTTTAGATTTTAGATTTTAGTCCGTTAGAGAGACGTGTAGCGTTATAGAGAAAGACATTGCATGCACCGGACAACTATTTGAGTCAAACTGTGTCAAATACTATAACAGGAATTTTAATCACACAAAAGAGATCCGTATAAATATGTTGTACAGAATATCGCGGCTCAAATCTGTTTCTCATTAAGCCAATACTATACATGCATTGAAAACAAATTTAAACAATATGCTTTATATTGGCGGTCAAAATATGTATACGAAAAATAAAAATCAAGCAGGTCAAATATGAGAAACTAAGCTCTTGACTTACATTATAAAATTCGTGGCTCGTTATATGAATTATCAAAGCAACAACGCGTAGGTGTTGTGTTCAGTCAAAGTTCTCTTTCATTATGTTTAACGCTAAAAAAACATCTGCTCGATCGATATAAGAGAAATATGAATCGTGTTTTAAGATCTTACATCATACGACGGTTTTTTTAAAATTCAACTCAATCAATTTAAGTTTCCCTTTTATACTGGAAGCACTTGTAGTAGTAAGCACTTGTTTCTTATATAGCATTCAAGTCCTCTATACGTCATTTCGTGATTACAGCATATACAGTTGCATAGTGTATATTGTCACAGGAGATTTTCAGCCTGTATGTATACATGCAGTAATATTCTTGAAATAAAATAAATAAAATGAAAGTGTGTATCGTAAACTATGAAATATAAATTTGTCGAAAACGTCGAAAACCCTGAATGACTTTATATACTGGTAACGATAAAAAATGTTCTTATATACATTTATAATAATAATATATAAATATATATCTATATCTATATAAGAATACTCGGCCTATAGTGTTCATTTTCATAGATACTTTATATGCATTGTCCCACAGCTTGCAAATTAAACGCTGTTTTCTCCGTCGAAGAAAGTTGCTCCTGCCCGAGTCCTGGTGTAGTCAGTTATCCTTTTCGATGCATGAAACTGCATGAGTGAGTGCATAATTAATTTAATTTTTGTAAATAATAATTTACAAAATCCCAACTCACCAAGATAAGGCCTTGTTAAGTTTCTTAGCCATTTCATATTTTTCTAATATGAACATTTCAGAGGCAAACCCATGCTGTATATATCGCCATGTGAAAATATAACAGTCAAAAATAATGGCAGTTAGATTCGCTACACGCTGACCCAAATGAATGCGTGCGTGGTTGATTGCGTGGATTGTACAGATGGACATGCTGCTCTTTATGCTAAATATGGCTCGGCGTTTCCACGTAGCCGAATGCAAGCGTAACTGGCTAACTTTCCAGTCGTTTAGGCGTTTTGAATCTACTTATCTGCTTTGGAACTTGTACCGTAGGCCTGAAAAAGTAGCCCAGTTACAACCGGATATAAGTTCATTAAAAACGTCCTATACGAGTATAGAAGAATAACTACAGATACACAGGTCACCCTGTCCTGGCTATACGTGAAAACCGAACCTCAAATAAAAATATTCGATACACGCATCCATATGTATTGATTTTTAGAGCGGATCGTTTAATGGAGTATTTATGGCGATCGTATTTGTTTTTCGGTCCGACTATAAAGCTGTGCGTTTCACACGATATTGCAATTAATATCCCGAACGTGGAGAGTTTGTATTGGTGGATTCCTGAAAGATGCTTTGTGTTAATGAAAGAATGAAAAATTATCTAATTACACATCAATATACACATTAAAAAAACTTCAGTTGCCAGTCTTTAGTGCTTAATGGTAGTGAATTCATTCATACCCAGCATGTTTCCAATATTTCAATGTATTTTGTGAGGATAACAATCGTTACAACACCGCCACCCCCCCCCCCCCCCCGACACCCAACCTCAAAAAATTTTTAAAAGCTTGTCAGTTTAAGTAAAGTTCACGTTTTTCGTGAATAAAGTACTTTGTTATTTTAAAGAATTATTTTTCGTCCTTGAGAACACATCACTTACTGTTGCCGGATATCATACTGGCTAACAATTTTTATATAAATTTGCATGGGAAGAAAAAAGATATCTCACACAAGAGAGTATATATAGTCTCAGCACACCGGGTTTGTGCTGCACCCCATCCGCTCAAACAACAAAGCTGTGTTCAGCACGTACTGCATGCAAGAGCTGCGTGTCTACAACTCTATATGAAACCGTCTAACATGCATGACGAATGCCTACCTGGTTTTTCGTGTTCTTTTATCGCGGCTTCAAATCCCATATCATCAACTGCATTCTTCAAATCATTTTCTCCGATGAGATCCGGATTGAACACAATCTTTCCCAATTTCTCTTCCAGGTAAACGTTGATAGATTTAACACCAGGTGTATCACCAATCGTTTCCTCGATACTTTTAACGCAAGAGTTGCATGTCATTCCTTCAATAGCAATTAATACTAGTTTGTACTGAGGTGTTCTACCATTGGGATAAATTACACCGGCTTCAAAACCTTTTTCTCGGATTAATTTGATAATTGTGGCCGGATCAATTATTGCTGGTTGGTAAACGATTTCAGTCTTTTCACTGTTCAACTCAACATCAAACTCCTTAACCCCGTCTGTTGACGCCAGCGTTTGTCGAATAGTGTCCACACATGATGGAAAAGTCATTCCCGAAATACTGATGGCAATTTTCTTCGGGTCATGGCTGCCAATTTCATCTTCCTTGTAAACCTCAAACCCAGAGTCTTCAATGGATTGTTTCAAAATAGCGGCGTTCGTTTCACTACAATTGTATCTTACAATAGCCTCACTGTCCTCTACTGAAACTTGAGCATCGAGAAAACCAGTAATCTCTGAGAGGTTTTGCTTTATGGCACGAACGCATGACTGGCAGGTCATACCATACACTTTAAACTTCGTCTCTATTGTGTTCTCGGGCAAGGATGTCGAAGGTGACTTGTCCTCAACACCAAGCTGCTCGACAACCTTAATAAACGCATCAAACCCCATATCTTCAATTTCGGTCACAAGATCTCGCTCGTTTGTTTCATCCGGGAAAAATATGATACGGCCTTCTTTGTCTTTAAGAGAGACGTTTATACACTCGACGCCATCAACATTACTGATATTACTTTGAATGTTTTGCACACAAGAGTTGCAGGTCATCCCATCGATGCCCAAAATTGCGCATTTCTTCGGTGGGACACTGTAAGATAAGCCGACCCTCTCTCCCCTACCAAAAACAGCAACCTATGAGAAAAAAACTCTTTGAATGTATGTCTCTCACAATATCACGCACCTTTTGCGTGGGAACATGCAGCACCTGACATGTTTGGAATACATTTTCATTGCTAAGGCTACATCCTAAATTCGAATTCCTATGAACAACATTTTCGTAGTGTAAAAGGCACTTCTGCGAGGCTTGATCAGAAGTTTCTGATCATTTGCTCTGATTGGGCGAACTCTAGATCTCCTCGCCAAGAACGAAATGCAATTATAGAAACCGTTGGCGACTAGGAGGAACATCATCTCTGACTGGTTGGTTGCATCACGTACAGTATAACTCGTTCCGGGACCATGCATGCAAGCACGAGATTTCCTGATTGACCACTTGAAAGCAAGTACCTAAGACCTGCCCACAAATATTCTTGTAACAAATAAAATGGTATTGTTGGGGTCAAATTCTGCGGCAGCGTGTGTGTGGGGATAATATTCATTTACAGCTGTATTCACGTTCAGTGTTATTATATAGTTTATTTTGAAATTGATTGATTTTACGGTCTGCCAACTTAAACATATGAATAAAGCTCCCCCCCCCAACTTCGCTGCCTTCAAAACGGAAAAAATTGCGAATGAATTTTTTGTTGAACTCGGCATGTCGTACGTTATATACGAACATATACGCCTTATACCAATAATACCATATAGCAAATGGTGCACCCATTGTCGCGTTAATACGGCACAAATAAACTGTACATATATAGCGCTGAATAAAAAAATATTTACAGAGTTCAGAGCTAGGCCTAGCCCATACTGTACCCCGGAAAAATGGTTGTTTGTGTAAAACCGAAATCTTAAAACGTTTCGAGAGCAGCAACGATCTAATATAAACCTCAACTTAAATACCGTATTAGCTATATCCTGACATACATATTTCTCGATATATCATTGCTCTGGCTTACAACAAAATTATTTCCGTCAGAATTTTATCCCTGCACGCGAAATGATATATACCTATATATGAGCAGTTCGGCATATAGTTTTACGTTAAATCGAGTTCTTTTATATATATTCTTCTGGCTTCTGCCTCGTCGTATATTGTGAAAAACTCATGCAGTAAAAGTTGCTCCCCCTAAAATATGGTAGGTTGGTTTAAAGAATCCTAAATGTAAGCCTAAAATATACATCAAATAGAATAGATGTACATATGCATTGAAAATCTTGGAGATTTAATAAAACACCGCAATTACAAATATATCAAACCATAGACTTCCCTTCGATGGTCAAAAAAAATACAATTAGGTCTTGACGCAGCAAAGATATATCGCAACCAGTGAATTCGGTAATACACATTGCTGATGGAACTGCATAATATATGTAGACAATATATAGGAATATAGACTGTATGTAGCGCTTTATTTAAATACATTTGAATATAGAATTAAGAAACTCAGTCAAATTAAAATTCGCTTGTTCGCGTGACTTAGCGAAAGAGATTTTCTACGAAAAAATTGTTCGTCTATTTGACGCCTTTTCCAAATTCTAATTACTCATGCACCATGCAACAAAGAACATCAAGGGAATTAAAACTATATTGTCGTGTTGAAAACTGGCTTGTCTGTGTAACCCGCTAGTAACCATAAATATTACGTTTACGTATACTTACCAACTTTCCCATGAGGGCAGGAGGTTTTACCAAGCAATCGTCTGATAAATGGTTTAACAACAACAAAGCGTTTGAACATAAAACACAGAGACGTGCATGGTTGGCTCGTATGGCCAACGCGTAGCCGCGGAGGGAATGAAACCTCACTGTATGTTGGTTAAATCGATGTTGAATGTCTGTTGAATCAATAACAGTTCGCCAATATCTTATATTTATTAAATTTAAAAGATGATACGGGTCGGTCGGACAGTTTTATCATACAATTTGATCATCTATATAATGAAGCTTTATTCTCTTTTAAAAATGACCGCCGAGTATTGTTGATAGAACAGCTGTACGTATGTTAAACGAAGCATACATGCAGACATGCATAAATTTTTGTATCCTATTTGCATATTATATGTTACGGCTAATGCGCTAATATGCAATTAAATAACTTTACTAACTTTACCACATGAAATGTGAGGCAGTTTTGGGTTCTTAATTTGCAGTGAAGTAATAAAAATCGCATTTGTTGAAAAATTTTTATATGCTCTAAAGCCATACAGCTACAATTAATTCACTTTTCCTTAGAGTAAATTTTCCTTAGAATAGCATTGAAATTAATTAACTAAATTAATTTGCCGTATCAAGTTTCTTATAAATTCCACCCGGGCAAAATATATTCTTCTCACATGAGTTATTTTCAAATTTTTGCCTGGGTTTTATATATATATATATAAGCTTGGCAACTAGTCAAAAGTCCTACAATAGCGTATGAAAATGTGAAAATATTTTACTATATGTGTATCCAATCTAGTGCAGTATATAACCGGGGGGGAGTCCCATAGAACAATTTTTTCTTTCCCCAATTATATATATAGAACAATATTCCGAAGAGATGCATACGTGTTAAAATATTGGGACAACACGCGTGGACGGAAATTAAGTTTCGTTTACGTGATACCAGATTGCTATGTAGGTCATGTAGGAACAGGTCAAAATTTTTAGATAATAAAAGCCGGGAAGTGAATTTTTTTATGTACGAGACCTGACAAAACATACCACCATACCTATGAAATTAATAGGCATTTGTTGTTAATGCATCTGTAACTCGAATAATACTTGATGTCAATTCGAGCATTACCACTGCACATATATATTTTCAGTATTTAGCTACATTTAATTTACTATCCAATACTTGGATTGCTGTACCTTGAAGCGATCGTTTCTAGGCAGAATGCAACAAGCGGCAACAACCACGAAAATTATACAGTTAATAAAACGATTCACAAGCAGCCTATATAAGATTGACCTAAAGTATGAGGCTGACGAAATACTATGAACTGAAGTGAAATGAAGTAAAATTAGCAAGGTGCAAAAAACTGCGAGTTTTCGGTGTATCCTCGAGAATCTGAACACCGTACGATACAAAAATATCAGAGTAGGGCTGGATAAATTTACCTTAGTCACATGCAGTGTGATAACATCTGGTAATAATACAAATTACCAGATTTAGCTACCAAATTTATACCAGGACTGGGCAGTCTAACTAGATTTGAGCCGCTTTGGTTACAAAAAATTGGCATACATGAAAAACAACCATTCAACTCGTAATGATGCGACTATGAGTAAAAATATATACAAAATGTCTCACTCGTAGTTTGAAACCGCAAAATGAACTTAACAATGGTAATGCTTCCTTCCATATTTTTTATAGAAATCTGTCAAAATACGGAGTTGGCTGAATAAATAAGCTTTTGTTTTCTTTGTTTCAACTTTTTGTTTTCATTCATTATACGCTGTCAAACAACTTCTCTTGACATCGATAAAGCCAGTCTGTAACTGTAAGGTATGTTCTTGAGGGGACCAAAAGATTTCCGAACAGATGTCATAGGAAATTTGGGCAAAATAGTATTTCGTTAAGAATATAACGGTGAAACTGGATTTCCCGTGCAAGGCAGATGTAAATAACGATATACTTGAATGCAGAGGCCAGAGTCTTTGAAACACTCTAAAATACCAGTAATCTGTCCGTACAGAAATACGACATGACCGGTCTGGTCGTTTTTCCCGTATAAAGGAAAGCGCCCTTTATAGTCTTTTATAACTATGTGACCGGAAATATCTTGGAAACATCTTAAAAAATCCTATCCGCAAAAATCGTTTTGTGTCCTTGGTTCCGAGGTTAATTTACAGGTCTTAACAAATTTAGAACATTTTTATTCTTAGCTCTTCGGCTTCTCTGCTATGACGCGTACCAACACGAGTAAATGACGCGAACTTACTTGGATACAAATAAACTATTAAATACGATCTGATTACGATCTTGGTTTTAAAAGAAGCTTCGCGATTTTCGAGCTCACGCAGCAACAGTGTCAGTGAAATATTGCTTTCGAGGGACATAATCAAGTTTCAACTTTCCAAAAGGTTCGGGACATATTTCCCTGGAAATGTGGCCTGGGAAGGGTCAATTTTTTAGGGGAGGGGATTTCCTAGAAGATTTCAATGGTGTTGATAAGATCCCAGTGATGCTATCAGAACTATGTGCCTGTGTGCCACATATCGCTCTTTGCTTATGTTATTACATAAATTAAATTAAATTGAATTAAATTGAAATGAATTGCATGGTTACACAGATTGCTGCGGTTTAGTGATTCAAATACATTTAGTGATTTAGTGGCTACACTTGACCACTTGCGGCATCCGCCAGCCATTAAATGATGTCCACTTTCAAAATCTTTCAACAATTCAAGAGTGGCAAATGTCAGTGTATGCAAAAAAAACATGTCTTCACCATATCTGAGTACAAACCAAGTGCTTTTAAAGAATCAAAACTCAGATATTATGTTAATTGCCCACAAAATGGTGGCTAGTTATGTTGAAGCTAAAGTCTAGGCATTCTCATGTTTAAATTTCAAACACACAAAACCTAATGGTATTATTATAAATAATGGTATTATCATAAATAATGGTATTTACAAATTATGCCTCTGTAGTGATGACATTTTATGGTGATCATGCACCGGCCAGGAATTTAAGATCAATTAAGCCTGCATGGGTTCTTAAATAATTGGGTCTTTTCGATAAAAGCTGTTGACCTCTAAATGGAACAAATTATGACCTATTGTAACAGAAGTTCCTTGAGTTCATGATTGCTCAGTCATATGGTGTGAATTAACAAGAATTCCACAAATGTGTAATTTTAATTAAAAACTATATATGACAATAGCAATAGTGAGGATACTTTCTGACATGCTGAGTCTGTTTCACTAATTTGGTCTTTGAGGTTGAAGAGATTAGACAAAACACAAGTCAACCAATGTTTGAACAATTACAATATGGAAATAGAGGGTGAATAATATTAAAAAAAACAAGAGTCTCCTTACCAGATCTAGCTACCATATGTCAAGTGACAAATGGCAAACAATAGTAGATTATATATAAAAGGTATAACCCAGTTAATGATATAACATAAAGTAAAGTAAAAAGCAAATTCCGAATAAACAAGACATCTTAAGAATGTCTTGTTTATCATGTCTTGTTTATTCGGAATTTGCTTTTTACTTTACTTTTTTAAATGGTCGGCTTGTCATGGACTCATGGTTTTTGATACAACATAACTCTATGATGTTAAACCTGATAAGCAATAAGATAAAAATTGGGCAAGACTTATGTTATCATAAGATTATGCATGTACAACTGCGCTGGCATAAATCGTTGTCCTATATATTAAATTAATTTTAAAAAATGTCTCATACATACCTCAGGTTCTACTCCTAATGTGACCATACTCATCACTTACGTATTCACAATTATCATCTACCTGGCTGCTATAGCATTGCTTCGGCTGTTATTGAACTGTTCAGTCTGTTCTGGACACGACTAGAAGTATTACATTTATACCAATTTGTTTACACAAGTGATCAAATCATTATTATATAAGTGAATCAATTTTTTAACGCTGTGACGGAAGTTAAATGCATGTTTATTTTTTCTGATAGCTATAGAATCATAGAAATTTAATGCCGATTGGTCACGATCATTTCCGACTGATAGTGGTGGCAACGCGACGCGCGGGATTTCGAAAATTTGTAAACAAAGCAAACATGGCAGAGCGAAGACAGAATGAAATCTGCGAAGCTGCTACAATTAGCTGGCATTTAGGACGGTCTGGACGGAAACTGTATTTGGAAATGAAAAAAGACTTACGAGTAAGCATTTCTCAACTAATTCCTCATTTCAATTTTTTACACAAATCGGATGTAGGGGGTATGGAAAATGGGAAGTACTAGAAGGTGGCAAGGTGCAGCTGCCAGCTAGCTGCGAGCTGTCATTACATGAATTCAGTTGTCAATCGCGTCACAGTAAAAAAAAACAAAGAGTTCTGACAGTTCTAAACAAAGAATACATAGCAGCATGTAGAGAAGTAGGCCAATCATAAATAACTATATTACTATAAACATCTATAATTTATAGATTAATAGATAATAAACACAATATGTTATGAGAAATGTCAATTCGAATTATGTTAACAAGGAGATGCATCAGTTAATTCATATATTTCAATAATTATTGTATGAAAGCAGCACTTAAAGTAATTTCTCAACTCATCATACTTTGCTTTGTGATTTTGCAGCAGCAGGCCCGGGTGAAGTTTATAGTGAAGGTGGTTTTGCATACCAAACTGAAAACTCTTTGTATGGGCATGCTAAGATATGTTGCACCATTAGGCCTGCAATTCTCCATGGGGAACAGAGAGACCCTACAACTATGACATGATCCCCATCCATCAAAAATTCTTAAATTTCAGTTAAACAAAATATAGGCCTAAGTCCTAACAGGCTATTATGTGGCAGTTTAAATTCAACAGACATCCTAGTTGATTCTACAACATCAAAATATAGAAGTATCAGAATGGTAAATTTTGGGGACAATATGAGCAAAGCCTAAAGGCTTTAGACACTAGAGAGACTAAAAGAGGTGGGGGTTTTCTTCACTTCATCCTTATAGGATTTCCCAGCTGTGCTATGGCCTCAAGTATTAATCATAAAACTTCCCATACATTTAGGAATTAGTTTCATCATCAAATGTTGTATTGTCTGATGTCAAGAAATGTGTTCAACCACACCTCAAGAGTTCTGGGTGGGGCATAAAAGTGCAAAATGCTGTTTATCAACAGATGAAAAGGTGATCCAACTGCATGAGCATGTATTATACAAATTCTTTGATGTGGGCAGTGGTTTAGCAGATCATCTCAGTGGTAGTATATTGCTATCACTCTCAGAAATTGAATAAATTCAACTTGTTACAGTAATACAGTTCATAAGATTTCTTATAGATATAGTAAAAGCAGAAAAACAGGGCACTGCATGGCCCATTTCCAGTTTCCCCCTGTTTTTTTTCTTGCATATTTTTCTACAGCATAGAATTCCTTTGAACAATTTCTTTATATATTAATATATTCCTTCTAAAACTAAATTATCAAGGTTTTTGTTTACTCTGTTTAATTAAGGCGTATAGAAGTTGAAAATTCAAATCCTGAAAGTTGCAAAGAACCACTTGCATTTTTTCAAAAAGCCCAGGTAAATATTTCGTACATTTCGTGTCACAAGTTTATCAGAACTTATTAATTGATCAATGATCATACATCTCTCGCGCAAGTGACGCAAAAATTAACTCTTGAGCAAAGTAAAAGGAGATCCTTTCTTGGAGAATTAAATAATATGATAGGTATATCAGTTATTTAACAGCACTTTTTCCTTCTCTAAAAAAATTGAATTCAACAATTCGATTTATAAAGCATCGATCAGCACGAAACAATGCCAATGGATACAGTTTTCTGAACAAAGCCAAAGTCATTGTCATCATCTTTGTTTGAATATACGGCAACGCAACGCAAATTCTTTTCTTAGAAGCAGTTTTAGAAGCAGTTTTCTTTAATTTTACTCTTCTAGAAGCAGTTTAATTCAAATCAGTTAATTCTAAAAGCAAAACCTTGATGCAATTTCATAGATATAAAAAATGTCTATCATCTGCAAATCAAATGTCAGTATTAATGTCTTTTTCTGGTTTAGAGCCAAATTGTTTCATCAATTGCTTTATATTAAATATTTTTAGCATTGGTATATACTAATATAGCTATCGTATTGCCATATTATCTATGAAATTTTACTTTTTTACATAGGCATCATGGGAGAAGAAGGTCCTTAAAAGCATTAACAGCATGTGTACTGAATTGTCCCTCCCATTAGCAAGAAAGGTATTTTAATTTGTGCAGTGCATTTTTTGTATACCTTCACCAGCATGAATGCGTGGATACAAAAATAACTGAGTCTGAGAAAAATTTTCAAAGGCAATGAAAATGTTTACTATTAGTAAAAGCTTCAACTATATTATTATATCATTTCAGAGATCGACGACTGAACAAGCTGCCGTATCATCGAAGTTTAGCACACTTGGTTCCGAGTGTGATATGGCAGGTATAGAATTCACCCTGATCAAATGGATAAAAAATACCACAGCTAGTAAAGCAGCTATCGAGTCAGCTTATACTATTAGTCTAAATGTTGCTCACTAAAATTTGACTTTACCATTTTAGAACTTAATAAAATCAGGCCGGTATATTCTACATTGGATTTTATGGAGGCGAGTATACACAGCCAGAAACGCGCAAGTTGCAGCAGGCCTGCTGCAGACTTGATGCAAGTTGCGATCATCAAGCCGATATCAGGATGCGTTCGCATCGCTTGCTCCGGCTTGATAATATCAAGTCTGTTGCAAGTTGTTAACAGACTTGATGCAAGTTGTGAACTGCAGACTTGATGCAAGTTGTGAACTGCAGACTTGATGCAAGTTGTGAACTGCAGACTTGATGCAAGTTGTGAACTGCAGACTTGATGCAATTTGTGAACTGCAGACTTGATGCAATTTGTGAACTGCAGGCTTGATCCAAGTTGTAAACTGCAGGCTTGATGCAATTTGTGAACTGCAGGCTTGATGCAATTTGTGAACTGCAGACTTGATGCAATTTGTCAAAAAGCGAAGTGAGGAAAGCGCCTTATGAAGCTTCGTATATCCACCATTTTAAACAAAAAACAGCCAAACGGTAGCCATCGAGGTTGCCATACTTCGGTCGAGACTTCGGTTTTAATGTTTCGTAAAATAACAAGCATTTTAACACTTGTGAGATAGGTTTTGACTGAGCAAAACAAACAAACAAAATATTTTTCTTTAAAATAGTACATACACAAAGCTTCAATAAGGCGTCTTCCTCGTTACAGATTTCTCTTGAAATTGGAAAGAAATTCAGTAACGAATTTCATATTCATATCAACGATGTCGATGAACTTTACTCAGTCGTTCATGTATTTTCATTTGTTAAGCTTTAAATCATGTATTTTCGTTGCCACTTTTTCAAAAATCAAACCAGCTTTGAGCTTTTTTCTTTTGAGATTTTTTTCTTCTTCGCTTTATTAGATTTTAGCGAGGATTTTAGTTCGCACTTCGCACTTGTTAAAAACTCGAAATTTTGTTGACTCAAAATGAGACAAAAACAACCGAACTTGATTACGTGTTTAATATCTTTGTAATATTTCGTCCAATTGCAACGAGGATTGATGGCGAGTGCATACGCATCCAGTCAGATTAAAGAAACGTAACGATCACTGAGCTATATAATAATTCCTGGAGGACCGGCTCGCCACCAAAAAGCGTAGCCAAAAAGATGGCGGATTTTGAGTTTTGCTGACGCCACTTGGTTCCTTTTGCTCATGGTAGTTACCACTGACATACCGCGATACAAAGTAAAAAACTGGGTCCATCACCCTCCCGATTTTTATGAAAATATTTGAATACTTTTATTCATCTTTTTCGCTTTGCGTTTTGTAACGACAAGAGAAAATGCCTTTTTGCTGCGCTTTTGGGTGCCACAATTCTTTTACGAAGGAAAAAAACCTTTCTTCTCACCGGTAAGAATCCGCAATTTTTTTTAAAGTTTAATTTGTGGTTTAGAAAAAGGTTTAAAATACATATACTTTTTCCATAAATTTTTACAAGCATAGATGGCGTCATACATTTTTAATTTTTTTACATTCAGTATTTAATTCAAACTTTCATTGTTAATTTCATTGTTGTTTATTAGTTTATATATTGTAGTAATTTCAACATAATTCAACATAAAAAAAAATTCTAACAAAACTGAAACAAGTAGTGCTTAAAAACCCATTTTGAAACTTTTAGGTTTCCCGATCCGGAAAAAAATCCTGAGTTGTACGACGTTTGGGTGGAGAATATGAACAGGGATGCAGCAGTAAAGTTTATTCCGACGAAGGGAAGTCGTCTTTGCTCGGAGCATTTCAGAGCGGACATGTTACAAATGACGGGACAGAAAATGATGCTGCTGCCAGATGCCGTGCCTACGATATTTCAGAAATCTCAGGTTTAATTGACAATTAAAATTTAGTCCGATACATACTGTATTCTAACTGCTCACTCTGAGATCTTAATCTTCTCATAACGTTTCCATGGTGGAATTTCCAGTCGGATAGGGTCTTGATTTTCAGTGTTTTACCTAAAATCTTTCCACAAATTGAGAAAGAACTTTCTCATTGACCAGCATTAACAAAATTTATATGTTGTAAGTGTGAGCTTTTTGAATACAGGCGATAATGTTGTAAGTACACAAGATCTGCAGTAGGTCCTATTATAGACTACAGTATATATGTTTGCTGCAATTGATTGGACTATAAAGAGCCAAGGCCAAATTCGGGTATAGCTTCAAAATTTGGACTGAAAATTAGTACCCTTTTATAAACATACTTTGAAGTTTAGAGTCATATATGTATCATCTCCTTTTTAATTTCTTTTAAATAACATACAACTGACCTAGCCAATTGCAGTGGTAGTGTAACTGATAATGTAGTTATACAGGGTATCACTGAAGATGAAAACTCTAGTAGTTTAAGTGTACAGGGTGTAAATGAACAGGTTACTATTGGGAGAAAGAGAAAGCTCTCAGATAAAGATGTGGTTATTAATGGGGTAAGTACTCCAAAAAGAATACACATGAGTCATGTGAATCATGATCACACTTACCATATCAGTAAATCCCCTCGTAGAATGAAGAAACATGTAGATAATCTTGTAAACAACTTGACTAATCTGCAGAACAAGTTTAAGGCGTCAAAGCAAAAGACAAGAAGGCTAAAGAGAAAGGTTAGCACTTTGGAGTCAGTGGTAAGTGAACTGAGACAGAGTAATCTCATAAATAGTGATTGCGCTGCGATTTTGGAAACAACCTTTTCCGGAGTTCCAAAGGAACTGATGAAGAGGTTAATGTCGCAAAAGAAAAACAAAAATCCTGGGGCGTATCCACCCGAGCTAAGGTCATTTGCTCTAACCTTAAAGTTTTACTCCACGAAGGCGTATAATTATGTTCGGAAAAGTTTTCAGCTCGGGCTGCCACACGTATCTGTGATCCGATCGTGGTATACTTCGATGGATGGTGAACCCGGTTTCACGAAAGATGCCTTGACAGCTTTGAAAGCTAAGGTCCTCGCTGCAAAAAGAAAAGGTGAAGAAGTTGTTTGCGCTCTCACCTTGGATGAGATGTCCATACGAAAACATGTTGAGTGGGATGGAAAGAAAATGCGTGGTTATGTCGACCTCGGAACGGGCATTGAAGACGACTCTCTTCCTGAGGCAACCGATGCTCTTGTGTACATGGCTGTTTGTGCAAACTCAAGTTGGAAAATACCTTGTGGATATTTTCTAGTGAACGGACTCACTGGTGAAGAGAAGGCCAATTTAACAAAAGAATGCATTCGAAAATTGCACGAAGTCGGGGTGAAGGTGATTTCTTTCACATGCGACGGTCCATCGACCCACCAGGCGATGTTAAAGGAGCTCGGCGCAATTCTTACACCTGATAGCCTGCAGGCGTATTTTCCGCATCCGTGTGACCCAGAGGCCAAGATCTACGTGTTTCTGGACGCCTGCCACATGATAAAGTTGGTGCGAAACACAATGTCGGACTGGCAAGTTCTGAAGGATGAAGAAGGGAACACAATTCAGTGGCAATTCATCGAGAAATTGCATCAGTTGCAAGAATCAGAGGGTTTACATCTTGCTAATAAGCTTCGGGCAGGGCATATCAAATGGAAACCACAAAAGATGAAGGTAAACCTAGCAGCACAGGCGCTCAGTTCGAGTGTCGCTGATGCTTTAGAATACTACGAAGGTAAGCTGAAATTGCCACAATTTCAGGGATGTGGTCCAACTGTGAAGTTTATTCGTGTTTTTGATCGCTTATTTGATGTTCTGAATTCCAGAAACCGGCTGGCGAAGAATTACAAAGCGCCAATTAGGAGATCGAATTATCAGTACGCGAAGAAGTTTCTGGACCAGGCGAGTGAGTACATCCGAAATCTAAAGGGTCCTGATGGAAGATCGATCCTCAAGTCGAAAAGGAAAACCGGATTTCTTGGTTTTCTTATTTGCATCAAAGCAGTTTTGGGATTGGCCGACGATCTGATTATGCCGGAGAAACCTGTCCTGAAGTACCTTCTGACGTACAAGACGAGTCAAGATCACTTGGAGTTGTTCTTCGGTGCTGTGCGAGCATGCGGAGGATGGAATAACAATCCAACCACATGGCAGTTTGTAGCCGCGTACAAGCAACTGCTGATGAGGCACAATATTAAAGGAGGTCATGGAAACTGCGTTGCTCAAGATGACACTCAGATATTAGACTGCGTCAAAGACCAGTGTGAAATTGAAGAGACGCCGACTGGGATCTCAGACGTAGCGATTGCAAGGCGATACGACTTGGAGTTGAGAGAGCCAGCTGCCGTCGATCATGACTACTGTGATGTGTCTAATGCCATTGAACTGTCTGAGTACAAGGAGGCTGCAATATCGTATATTGCTGGATACGTCTCGAAGATGGTGACGAAAAAGATCCATTGCACCCAATGTACAACGGTGCTGACGACGACGAAAGAGAACATACCGGACTTGTTCGTAACATGGAAGACGAATGGGGGTTTGCAACTACCGTCACACGGACTGATTAAGATTTGTGAAGAAACGGAGAAGTGCATTAGGAGAATGCTGAATGCTAACCAAGGTGGTTTACCTCGTAGCGCTGGACTATCAGGAGCAATTGCGAAGACGGTGCTGGAAACATGTGTGAAGAGCGGGGTCTTTAGCACGTTAAACCAGCACATGTTTGACTCAAGTGCAGTGGACAACCACCTGTTTACTCTGATAAAGTGCTGTTCTCAGAGTTATGTCACGATTCGAATGCATCATTTATGTAAGTTGAGGAATGCAAGTATGCATGAGAAGGTGATACGAAAGCAGTTTTCAAAGCTCGTGTTGTTCAAACACCAGTAGAGTTTACACGTGTCCTGGGCACTCTTGTGGTGCTTTCGAGGTTTGCCTGTATGCCTTGGAATGCAATGTCAATGTAACTGACCATGTTCATTAAAAATTGCAAACAATTGAAATTTCATATCTTTCTCGTTTATATCAATTAAAGTTTCTACATTTAAATGAATTAAATCAAAAATTTGTTGAGAAAAGATAATTTATTCACATATATCTGCAACCTCATTTCTAATATTTCAGTTTAGACATTGCATTTTTCGAAGGTTGGGCGTATCCTGGCACAATTATTTGTGTTGCGAGGAAGTGTGCATTGTTGAGAATGCATGGTCAACGGAACCTGCACATTTTAGATGTGTCTAGGGGTTGACAAAGTAATGTGTGTATGCATGGTGTTTGACAACAGCCAATTATCATATGTGAGATGAAGAAATTATAAAATGCATTGATATGTCACTAGAGGTAAATATTATGTTTTTGCTCTCTTTTTTTTCCAAAGTGTTTGCATTCATGCAGTTCTGTCATTAACTTTGTGTTTTTTGTTCCTCTGTTTTGTTAGGAGCAACTGAAAAGATTTGACTACAGTCAATCATAAAATAAATTATTTATTATTTTGTAAAATTTAGAATATATAACTTATATTTTATATTTACATATGACCTAATGCACGACTTTATTAAATAAGACAACACAAACACAATGTTAATGTTTTAGCTAGCCATGCAGGTATTCCATCTTTCTTGACACATTCATGAGTTCTCCAAAACGTCTCAAGATATTGCATTGCAAATAAAACATATGGTACTCTTTGCTCAATATTGTTGAAGAATCAGAATTGCAGCAACATATTGTCACAAATTGGGCAAACCATCCAGGTTGTGGAATGAGAATAATGATCACATAAACTTTACGCTGGACATGGACAAGGACAAAGAAATCTTTTGGATACAGAGTGTCACTGAAATACATGCAGACAAAATGGTCAATGAATTTGTTGTTGTAGCACTATTTGATGATATAGACAACCAGTGATACCACTCACTATGAAAACTCTCATTATGGACAAAATCAGGGAGTCAAAAGATAATGAAGGAATGTTCCAGCCAACAATATATATTCTTGCCGTCAAAGTGTCATCATGTCAATTATGAACACCTGTGTATATAATCAAAGATTTGTGCTTTCCATCACTTCTATGGTTAAATAAAGTATCAAAGAAAGAATGGACTTCAGGGTGTCACAGAGAGAATGGTTTACGTGCTTTGGTAGTTAAACATTGACAGCGTAAACATTGACATTTGTAAATATGGTAAAATATAGGCATATAACTATATTTTATTTACCACTGTAATGCTGACATTAGTTTTTAGCTGACGTTATGAATGTAAATTGTGAATTATAATAATTAGGTTGCATTTTGAAGATACAGTTATTAAATTTATGTGGTTTTTAATGAATTAGCACATTGATCTTACTTTCAAGGTATACAAGAATAAACACTAGCAATGTGTTGTGTAGTACATACCAGTGGCAACTATTCGCACGCAGTTTTACGACCATAGATTAGTACTAGAGTCAGTGACAAACAGAATTATTACAGTCCATTTTTTTTTTGTTCTATAATTTGTTAAAAACCGAGTAAACTTCATGTTATTATCATGAATATTTTCTGTATTTAGACCAATCAAATTGTCGTATTTATTTCGCGCTCTTTTCAATTTTTATTTACCTTTTAGACAAAAGCTTTTAATTGAAGTACGAAAAAAAAGTACGAAGGTATACGGCCCTTTAAATATAATTAAATTATATAGTTTTGGTCGTCATAATGAATTCTCTTATTACATTTTGACAGAGAAAAATTTATAGAAATGGAAGAAAACGGAATGCCGCATACGGAAGGACGGGAAGGCCAAGAGGAAAATGGTAGGTATATGTTTAGCGATATACGGCATTTGACAAACTTGTAAAATACAGTAATGTACACAATTTTGCAAAATGAAACGAGTTCAAGGCATCTTTAATTAAAATAACCTGAACCCAGTACCAGTTGTTTTACTGCACGTATTTGAACGTAAATTATTGCACAATGTTTTGCAGTGGAAAGGTCTGAGAGGACAAACCAAGTTGAGGACGAAGGAAATGGTATTAAATTTTTAAAACAAGTTCCCATAATTTATGTATTTTATCTGTTTTTCATTGCAAATATCAATAATATTAGCTAGTGCATGTCTACACTTTGCTTCCAAGCTTTTGCTAGACATGTATGAATGGCTTTGAAACATGCAAAGACATGCTACCTTCATATGGGTAATAGTCAGGTAATAGTTGAAAGCTTGGAAACAGCTTTAAATGATACAGCTTTACAGTATATGATACAGCTTTATATGATAAGAACATGTTTCCTTTCACATAGAGAACAATACAAGATCTGGAAGACCCTTCCATGGTAGTAAAGGTTTTTTATTTTATGCCAATTAAACCCTACAAATGATCAGAAGTAAAACTATATTTACCCATGAATATTTTATTTAGGAGTATGCTATAATTGCAAGGAGAGGGGTCACAGAGCAGCAAACTGCAAAAATTGTATGTGCCTTAAACTGCCTTCATAGTTGTTTGTTATCAGAGAGCATATGAGCATTGGGGGTTAGGGGGTAGCCTCAACTAATATTATATGTGTTATTAATAGTCAAAAATATCCTAATATTTTATTCATTTCAGCACACAACAGAAATGGAAAACGTAGGTTAACCCATTATAACGGCATGGTTATAAACCAGTTCATACCAAGTATTGTGTTAATAATATAGAGACTATTAATAAAAGAATATGTCTATTGCATTGATTTATTAATAAATCCTATTCTGTATCTAACAGAATAAAACATCAATACAGGTAAAATATTGTGTATCTATTTTGTAGGGAAAAGATGTTTTAAATGTGGGAAACCTGGTCATATGGCCAGAGCCTGCACTTCTCAATCCCAACCTGGGCTGACCAGTTACGTGCTGCGCAATTGTAATAATTGCACTTTTACTGTTTCGAAATAAGTACATTGTTATATTTCTAAGTGTGCAGGTTAAAATGTGCTCAGGTAAAATATTAAATTCATAATCTAAGATTATGAATTTAATATTTTATATATCTGAGGATGATTCTTATATTAAAAAGTGTAATAATTTAAATTATCCAAATTTGAGACCCCTGTCACATTTTTAACCTGCACACTTGTCCTGGTTAAATTTTATTGATTCATGTCACTTTTGCTGAACTCTTGTTAATGTTGCATTATGCAATTTAAATAACCAAACCAAAACTAAAAATGTTTCAAAATATTTAGACTCAAGTTACCAATGTATGTATTTATTTGAATATTCTAAACCATGCATTGATTAGAAATTTTGATTGAGTATAATGCAACATAGGTTAATTGTTATAAATGTTTAAAAAATAATAATTTCAATTCTAATTCTAATTAATTCACAATGATGTAAAATATATACTTAATTTATTAAAATGTCAAAATTAGTATTTTGTGTCTTGTGATACCTTGAAATCCTTCCAAACAATTGGCAACACAGTCCATAGGGAATTGGTTCTGAAGAGCACATGTTTCAAAGTTAATGCATTACCACATATTTACAATCGATTACTGTACATAAGTGGCCTAGCTATGGCAAATGTAATTTGTAGTGTGTACCAATATGTTAATTGCAAATACTAACTATATAATCCAGTTGGGCAAGTTCTTGTGCAAAGTAGGAATGATTTGCATGTTATTGAATTTTTAATACAATTCTACTCTGCACAGGTTTAATGCTTGAGAGTTGAGACAATCAAACTTGACTTAGCATCCAATTAAAAAGGCAATGTTATAAATTGTATTTTAATATGATATGTGAAGGTATGTGCATGTATGTATATGTACTATATGTCACAGTCCTGTATAAGCCTGAAAACAAGGCCAACAATGTGGATGATACATTGATGTTTTTTTTGCTTCGAAATGATTGGCTTGATTTACACAAACGTGGGTGGGTAAACTGTAAAGAGATGTGATGTTTTTTACAATTGGTAATATACCTGTTAAAAAGATTCCAGTAACAGTTCCTCACTTCTGTCTTCTGAAGTTTCAGATCTTTTTTGTCTGTAGAAACAAAAACAAATAGTTAAAACAATGCACGATTGCACATAAAAAACTAGTGTGTTTGAATGTGTTTCATATTATTATACTTTCATTTGTTTTTACCCGCGTGCAAATGCGAGTGCAAATACAGAAATACTTGCTTGTTCGCCGATCAAAAGCAATTTTATTAATACTACTGATCATTGACGTTATTTCGACCCCTAAAATTCTTAAAAAACTAAGGATGTGCACAAAGCAATAGTCCATTAAGATTTTTAACAAAATTACAAAAAATATACCTGTTTGACTGTTCTCTTCAAAACTTCACTTGTAGACTTTCCCGGGCTTGTAGTTCATGTTTGTTTTCCATGTGACCGCGCGCGAACGTTTTAAAAAATATTTATGTTAACCATAGGTTCAAACATCAGTTAGTTGTGGCTGATTCAAAAATATGTTTTGTTTTTCCTTCGCCCTTTTTATACTTATAGCTCTACATACAAACTAAAAAGCATCATCTGTGCCGTCTTCTTAAAATACTTGTGGCTCAGGCGTACAGAAGATTCCTATTTCCTAAACGTTTTGTTTTGAAAAACCAGGGGGGAGAATACTGCTGTAGCGGGCTCATAATTGAGCCTGGTCAGTGGTAACTACCATGGCCAAAAGAAACCAAGTGGCGTCAGCAGAGCTTCTGCGGTTGCGCAGAAGGGCGAAGTCCGCCATGTTTTTTGCTTCAAAAAGATGGCGGCGAAGTTACCGAAAAATGACGAGCCGGTCCTCCAGGAATTATTATATAGCTCAGTGGTAACGATAGTATACGTCAGCAAGTTGTTCCTAAATTTCAATTTTTATAAAATTTATAATTATTGCGACTTGCGAGAAATTTTCTACAGCTGTCCATTTCAACTCATCTAATTTTATTGATTAGAAATAGCTGTATGGCTAAATAAAGCAAAATAATCTTTTTGATTTAAAATACAAAAATCTACCATGTAGAGCAATAAAATATTGTTATAAACTGTGAACCTCGTTGTGAACAAATCAAATAAACTTGTTATCAAGTTACTACAGCAAACGGCGAATTATCAAGTTGCAACAAGCCTGATTTTAACGACTTGCTGCAAGTTGTTATCAAACTTGTCAGGACTTGTTAGCCACAACCATGCTGCAAATTGTTTGAACAACTTGCAGCAAGCCTGTAGATAACAACTTGCCGCGAGTCTGATTTTCTCAACTTGCATCAACATTGATGTGCTCATAGACTTGCTGCAAGTTGTTCCATCAGACTTGTTAAAACTTGATATCGACAGACTTGATTCAAGTTGATAAAACAAGTTGCATCAAGTCTGCAAGTGACAGCTTGCAGCAAGCCTGGTTTTCTCAACTTGCATCAGCATTGATGCGTTCGTCAGACTTGATGCAAGTTGTTCCATCAGGCTTGCTGCGAGTTGACATTTGCAAACTTGATGCAACTTGTTTCATCAACCTGCATCAAGTCTGCAAATGTCAACTTGCAGCAAGCCCGATTTTACCGGCTTGCTGCAAGTTGATGACGTCAACAAGCTTGCTGCAACTTGTCGACAACTTGCAGCAGGCCGGTAAAACCCGCAACTTGCAGCAAGTCTGTGGCGTTTCTGGCTGTGTAGTACATGTCTTCCACTGATGAAGTCGTGTCAAAAAGTTTATTCAATTGCCATGACCATTACAGAAAAATGATAATTGTCCGCCGGCCAGCCATGCACATTTAGTTGTCAGATTACTTTTTTGACAAATTTCCTGTGTTAATTGACCCAAGCAAACTAACAATATTTGTGTTTCGACATGTTTTCCATGACAAGTACACTTCAGTCACCTGTTCGAAAAGCATGCTAGCCGTCAGCATGCAGGATAACTATTTATATAATAACTATAGTGAAACACGCAATGTGATTGGTCAATAGCCGTGCAGGATCAGACAATCCTGCACGCGTTTTAGACAATCCTGCACGCGAAATTTAATTTTAACCGTTGTTTCACTACAGTTATTTTATAAAACAATTACCAAATGATTTTCCGTGCAGGATTGCGTGATCCATGCACTTGGGATGTTGCTCGACTTTCGGAAAGCGTGAAAATACACTCGCCTACGGCTCGTGTATTTTCACGCTTTCCGAAAGTCTCGCAACATCCCGCGTGCATGGATCACGCAATCCTGCACGGAAAATCATTTGGTATTCCTTTAGTCAGTTAGCATGATCGTAACGATTATAACATGTGATATAGCACACCACATTATCACATCTTTGCGTTTAATATCATCATCGTCTTGTCCTTTTCCCGGGAAATTGGGCCTTCCGTTTTTTCTCTCCAAGTTTCCCGGTTTTTAGCGCAATTACTTGCTTCCGTCCATCCATTGAATCCAAGATCACCTCTTTCCTTCTCAACAGTTCTTCTCCATGTTTCTTTGGGTCTGCCTCTCTTACGTCTTCCTTCAGGCGTCCAGGTTAGAGCTATTCTAGGGTTCTCATTTGCCTTCATTCTTAGTATATGCCCAATCATTTTCCAGCGTCTTCGCTTTATCTGATGGGAGATCTCCTCCATATTCGTCTTTGATCTTATCTCTTCGTTTGATACTTTCATGGGCCAGTAGATTTTTTTGCGTTTAATATACCCGGTTTATAAAGAAGTTGCATCACTATAATTTGCGAATGTTGTTACTGCTTCAAGCACATTTCCTGTAAAAATATTTATGCTTCTGACATTCCAAAATCCTTAATTCGCATCCAAGCATCCATGCAGTTGTATTTTCCAGTTCTCTTGAGCTCCAATTAGCTACTAAATTATCCAACTTCCGTAACTATCTGACTTCAAGAGTTTTGTTTTCCAATGCAGGCTGTTGTCAATGTAAAGAATCCAAACTATTCCCCTCTAAGGAAGCTCCCAAGGTAATCTATCGGCATGGATTGTTCGTTTGTAAAACACGATAAAAAGAGTGATGTTATCATGAATCATGAACTGTTTTACTTTTCAAAATCATTCAAAATTGGTTTTAGCAGGACTAGCAGGACATTATATACTCATCTTGCAGGAGCGTACTGTTTGTTAAGCATTTTTTTATTGAAATTTTAAAACACTTTGATCAACATCATCTTCTACATGCACATCACTTTTCCAACAATTCTACTCTTTTTTTCTGTCTGTTTTTCCTTGCACATCAGGCATGCATGCACATACTGATGAATTTTTAAAATTTAAAACACGTCGTCTAACTCGATTTTCCACATTAATCCTTTAGCTCAGTGAAAGGATGGGGGCAAATAAAAATACACCTTAAAGTGAAGACTGTTTCAGAATTGGTAAACTTAATCTTGTTAGATTGTAATGAAAAAGTCTTAAAAAGGCAATTATAACGTCCACCTTTAGTTATTCTATTAACTGAGAAAATCTCTTCACAGCGTTCTTTCTTCAAGGAGACGGAACATTGTGGTAGTCAGTGTGGTTCCTTTGACGCTGAAGGAAATTCTAAAGGTTATATAATTTACTTTATAACATAGGCGCATAAATAGCTGTGATTTTCACTTGTGGCCGTGAAAATTGTTAGTATTTGCAGGTCAATTAGTTAGCGCGTCGATTACTTGAGGCTAAGGACGGGTAAGGACAAAGATGGATAGTTGGGCGCGGTTTGGGAAATTGTTGGTAGGATTGTGTGGGGCATGTGTGTATATGTATGGAGTAGAGTGGGTATAGTGAGGTGTATAGCAGTTGAAGATGGATAAGGTCGAGTACACCTGATTGCCTGAGGTGGAAATGGGTACATATCTTTAACGTATAAGGTGGCAAGATGATACGTGAGGTTGGTAGGTGGGAATGCGCATGAAGATATATAAGCGGGAAAGTATACTCCGATATTGTATAATTTTGACCTAATACCATACTTTATTCTGTAGACATGGACGATAACGAGTGGTACAAATTAGGAAAACGAGGTGAACATTTTGTTCAGCATGCATGCATCGAGCAACATTTTAGTTAAGCCATCGCAGGCTCGCAAGTTGCGTCACTTGGTAAGGACAGAACTAACTGTGGGTTGGCTTATATTGTTATTTTTTACAGTAATTGAAAAGGGAAGTTGTCCGGCAGCACAGCAGTATGCCAAGTCTGGATGCCCGAGTGGACTAAGACGACATATTTGGTGTTTAATACTTGATGTCGGAGACAATGAAGAGGTGCGAGTGTTTGCATTAATTTATGGTATATACTTGCATGATCAGATAACCTAGCGTTTTTATAATTTTAAAATTATTGTTTGCTTTTTACAGAACAAGATCTATTTTGAACAACTCAAGTCGTACGTTTGTACGTATGATTTGTTAGTAGACACTTTGATTAAAAAGGTAAAACCCGATATTTTTATTTCTTCAAATTCTAACTCGTTATTAAGTAATTATTGGTAATTCTAACTTCTATTTATTCGTTAACCTCTATTTCAACCAAAGATACATTGTGGTTTTTGCTATAGGCACGCATGCAAGTAGCTATAAGTTCGTCAGTTAAGGCAGATAGTTTTGCAAAAGACCAAACATAAGTTGCAAAACTCGTCAGTGAAACTTTCGTGTTTATCAGGACGTGAAGTCAACAGCTACAAATGATGATCAATATTTCGTTTTCGAAGATCTCCTTTATCAAGTTAGTATACATTTTACTATATATACCTTTCCTTTTGTACAGTCCTCTGTTATAAAAATAATAATTTCCAGCTCTCACTTTCCGGCACAACTTTTTTATTTCTTTTATCCACTAAAATTGTCGAGAGAGAATTTTGATGTTATTTTTTTACCCCGTTTTCTTGTGTAGGTGTTATTGGCCTTTACACGTGATACAGCCGTATTGAAACATTTTGATCAAACGTCGGCATCGCCACCTAGATCGTACATAAGAGGTCAGAATATCTATAACCATGCAATCCCCAGTGATATAAAATGATGTAGATACTATTAAACACATGAAACTCTGTTATAATATTAAAGAGTGTTTAAAAATGTGTGTTTGATATTTACAATTATTTATGTACGACATAGGAATCTCGACCAAATATGATGATACGAAAGCCAGCTTTTAGATGTCAACTTATATTTTGTTGAAATCTATAATTAATGAAGTTTAAGATACCCTCGCATTTTCTGGGTTAACCAGTACGAGTATCGCCATAAAAAATATGCTACAACATACAAAAACTTTTCGATGGTTATATGGCTTAATTTATCATTTTCCGACCCTTGCTTTTTCTGCAGGGAAACTTGGTGTCTATGAATATGCAGTATTTTACCCACCTAATGGTAAGTTCAGATAATACTTCGTCTCAACTATTTCATACTAATAATGACTATAATAAGTAGTCACTTAAATATCTCTTTCCAACGGTTTTTATGTGTAATTATGTTTTTAGGTATTATTCCATTCCATGGCTTTGCGATGTATGGTAAGCACGCGGCGTAAACGAATATGTGTTTTAGGAGTTTTCTAAATCCATAATGCATGCATGTGGATGTAATAATATTTTTATTAGAAATATCGAATGATATCAGTTCTTGACTTACAGCTGCCCCGTTATGTTACATTTATGAAAATCCATCTCGTCTCTATCACGTTTTCAGAGAATTGTATACGAGGTTTGTTTGCATGTGAATTATTCTGAGAACTTTACCTATAGAGGCTCTTATCAAAAATACCATTTAACATACATGGCTCCCATGCATGCATGGTGCATGTTCATGCAAATTAATGGAGTATAAGAAACCCTTGGTTTCGTTCTACGGGTACTGGTAAAGCCTTATTTTATCTAATGGAATTTCCTTGTGATTTACATGCATGTCTTGTGATTTACATTGCCTCGAAGAGCTAAGGTGTACTGGAAAAATTCTGACTATAGTCGAAGTAAAGTGCGAAGTAATTCACAAACATCGATGGAAACATCCATAAGGCTACCCCTACCTCTACCCATAGATCGGAACCGGGTTATCTTAAACCTCTCTAATTATCAGTTTAGCTCTTGTCTGTAATGACCCTGCATCGATTCATGCATGGATACGAGGTTGATTATAATTAAGGTTAAAATTACCATTATCAATTCTTATAATTTGGTATTTTGCTGCTGATTTGTTTATATCGTCGTTTTATCTCTTGTTTGTCTAGATACTTTTCCCGTCTTCATTCTATTTCATCTCACCCGCAGGTATATTTATGCATGCTTTGTAGTTTATACTAAAACAAATCCAAAAAGTAGTTCGCGTATATACCTATACATTTGGGCTACTAATATATTTAGTGAGCCACGATATTAGTTTTATAATAGATTTAAGCAATGCTCATTTAAATAAGCCGCATAATTCAAGAAAATTTGTGATCATTTGGGGAAAATTGTGGAAACGTTTTATGTTAGTCTCGTAATTAAAAAATATAGGCCATCATGTATAAAAGAGGTGATCCACGCTATTAGTTTGTAAATCTATGATCACGATGGGACGAGGTAAAGACCTAACAGAAGGCGAGAAAAGTGTACTTATAATATCAAAGAAATAGCTAAGGGTGAAACACCCAAAGCTATAGCTGAAAAAATAAGTCGCCATGTTGTGACAGTAAAAAGATTTTTGCAAAATCCTTCTAAGAGGAAATCCCGATCGGATCGTGGGGTTTTAAAATCAGTATCAAAGCGAGATATGAACCGGTTGAGGAGGAGTGTCCGTAAATGACCTGGATCAACAAGTGCATGAACTAAAAGGCCTCGCCTGACCTCGAGACATAAAATATTACGTGTGGAATGGTCCAAGAAATATATGAAAACCGAAATGAAAGTTTGCCCTATTCATTGACGAATCAAGAGCAAGGTTAGACGGTCCTGACGGCTGGGCGAAAGGATGGTTTTTAACGGTGATGATTGCCTCACGAGGATGAGGATGTCAATAAATAACTCAATTCAGTAAATGAAATCACTCCGTGTTCCATTTCTATCACTGTGTGAATTTCTAAAATTTTGAACTAAATGAACATAAGTGCAGAACTTTGGTCCCTAAGCCATGCACACTGCATTACTGTAGTTAGATTGATATTATGTCCAATTCTCCTTTTATAGGGAATAGTGTCATTGTGCTTACTTTTCGAGACACTCTTACAGTCTCAAGAACCGGGTTTATTTTACCATCTACGACAGATTGGCATGCATCCGTAAGTAAACTGGGATCCTGCATGCAAAACTAGAAATTGACATGCATATATAGATATTAAAGATTTTTTAGTCCCAATGTTTTGCTTATTTTTCATAAAATTTCACTCAAGATATTAAGAAAAAGTCAACTCCATTAAGAAAAAGTTGCTTTTCGCCTTTAGACTATATAGCCGGCACAAACATTTTCCTCTTGTCGGCTTTTTCTATTTCTGGGAACTGCATTGCCTCGGAACCTTTTGAAAAGTGCCTCGTCGGGCTGCCAAAATCGATCAGCCATTATAACACCAAATGTATTGAGCTAATAGATATGCATGGCTCCATTTGGTGGGCAATGCAACCAAGCGGACCGTGTTAATAATATTGTATAAATTTCAAGAACTGTATAATTATGTATATATATAATATGTTTTTATTTCACAGTCTAAAAACAGCGTTTAACTGGATGTTTTATGCATTCTCTGGATACCTCGAAAGCGAACAGGTAAATGTGGCGATGGCTCATTTTCAATCCTCGACGCGGAAAACCATTTTCAGGTGTTCCTATATAAAATATGCCATAACTTCGTTGTGATTATTTAGGCACTTATTCATAAACTTGACAATCTTGCGTTTTTCAAAGTTTTGTAATCAAATTATGACCTCATGCAATCCGGGCATTTTTAGCCCAGGGAAAATGTTGTTGGAAGTGTTTTGAGGCCTTCCTTTATTTTGTTAGCCTAAATATTTATCATTTCTGTATAACTTATTTCTTATAGGTACTAATTCTGTGGGATAGAGTGCTTGGATACGACTCTTTGGAAATACTTGCAGGTATGTTGTATGTATAGCGTATATACAGTGGCGCCAAGATTTTTTTAGTGCCCATAACGTCAGCAGGACACGTCGACTCGAAATAAAATAAAAAGACATAACGTGTACACATGCATGCCTGGCCAACTACATGTTTACTGCAATAATGCAAAATATTAAATAGACATTTATTTCATGCAAATAAAACAGACATTATTTTTTCTGCACTTTACTTGATAAAAACAGAATGATGTCTCTTACAGTACTAGCTCACTCGATAATCGCATTTCGAGGGAAAAATTTGCTTGGTGTGACATCTGTGCAAGGTGCTGAGGTAAATGATAGTAGATAGCAATGATAAATAAAGGCTATGTCACTACTTTATATATATTTGCGTTTTTTCAGAACACTGAGAAAATAATTTCTCATCCGTATATATTTTTGTCTCTTTTAGGCCGTCTTAAATGATATAACTGACATAAAAGTTGTACCCCTACTGCAAAGAAGTTTATTCTTAGAATAGCGTTTAAATTGCAACAAAATCTAAGTAGCCATAGCAGTCCTTCGTATATTGTATATTAAACTTGTATATAGACTGAATAAATTAGACATTTGAATAAAAACAAATATAAATGGTTCCTATATTCCTATTCAATTTTCTCGATCGAATTGACGATATTTGGTACAAATCTAAGATAAATTCGGACAAATCGGTACGACCCGGGCTTTAAACATCAAGTGACCTTGTCAAAATACGTCGCCGGTTTTAAGAAACTTTTTTAAGGTCCCACTGAACAACTTTGCTGAAATATTTCAATGTAAATAGTTTCAATGCATAAGATGTAGGTTCAGTCATTCACAAGATCTATGAGAGTATTTTTAAACTTTGGCTTATGCACCTTCAAGCTAAACGACGGTGGATAAGTTAAAAATAGAAAGCATGCAAATCTAACGTTTTATTCAACAAGCGAACTAAATGTTTTTTACGTTAATACAAAGATACTGTCTACAACTACATACTCAGTGCATAATATTCAAGTTGATTCATTCCAGAGAGATGTAAGAGTGTTATTTAATTTTGACTTATCCAGCTACACGGGCTTGATACAACCGTCAACCGGCCCCTGCATGATCCAGGGGTATTGCACATTAATGTATTCATGCCAGAAACCAAGGAGACAGTTTGTATTCTGATCGAGTGTCTGCAAATGTTTCACAAAAGCCGCTATGATTTGTACAAAGTAATCATTTCTTACAACTTTTTATAGCCTGTGTTAATGCGCACAACGTTATATATACATCTACAACGTAATTACTGCATGCATGTGCATACGCTAATTTGACAACTTATACTTATAAGAAAAATGCATAATTTTTATTTTATTCTGGCCTAATTCTAATCCTTGCATAAAATCTCTCTAATGTCCTTAAACCTTCTTTCCTCAATTCTCTGTTATTCCAAAAGAATAGAACGCAGTTCATCGTTGACAAGGAAACAACTAATGTCTCTCCCCATATTTGTGTTATTGCCAGAACTTCCGATGTTCGCTGCCAATTTTTGATGCCACTTTGCACAAACTTACAAACAGTTACCGGTACATAGCAAATGCAGGTCAGTGCAAAAATATGCAGATAATTTCTGGCAAGTTTTAAATCGCGTAACAATTGATAATTTTTTCTCAACTGTACTGCATCAAAGCTTACTGGAAACGGGCCTATAACGACCGATCGTTTTCTCGCGACTCGGAAAATATAGGTATAAACGAAAAGTGTGAGCGAACTTACTGAGAATGAAAAGACTGGCACTATCACTCGGCTGCATATTTTCCCAAATTTGTAACACGGGCCTGTATTGAGCATTGTGAATGCCCAAAGTAAGGCACACGCCAATAGAAGTCTTTGCTTTGTGACGTTAGCTTTGTGCCACAGCGGATATTTAATGCATAAGAACCGTTCAGTATTCATTACGCATAGAGTGCACAGCGACATTCCCACAAGCAATGTACCGCAAAGGTCCGAAACCCCTTCGAAAAGACAATTTGCCTGTCCTGTGATTTCATGAATTCCTTGTGTGATGAACACTGGATGTGAAATTGTCACCACCGCAAGGTCGTTGGCAGATAATACCTTAATCGTGAAAAGCGAAAGCTTTGATTTCAATGATTTTGACCACCATAAGGTGACCAGCACAGTCGAGTTAAGGATTATTCCGCAGATAAACAAGACGAAGTGAATGATACAGGTTCCTATCATGTTGGTTACAAAAGTCGAGGAAGGCGAATGAATCACGTACGACTGTCCGCAACGTTCTAATATTAATTCTGTATTCGTATGATTGACAATGGACATTGTGACAAAACCGTATATTTCTTCGAACTGCAGAATTTGTCTATAATAAAGATGCCAAAATTGCGATGGGACTGCCTGCATGTGAATTTAATAAATATATGTGGCGTGTTGTACGTATATAGCTATATATATATAGCAGCATGTTTTGTTTTATTATTTACTTTGTTTCAGATTAATAATTTTGAAACTCTATAGTCTTTATATATATAGAACGCATGAACTTCATAATGAATTCGGTCATACAAACTGCCTGTCATTCTTTATGTTATCTCTCTTCTTATTACCTCTCTTAATTCCCTTTGAGAGTTGAGACCCTCGATCGCGGGAACTGCTGGAGCAAATAAAAGAGGCATTTAGTCTTTTAGATCTTTCGGAGTGTTATACACATGACAAACTAGCCGAAGTATCGTTAAAAAATGCTACTGCATGATTATTGTAAAACGTTGACGCATATTATGATAGATGAATATCATGATGTACCAATAATATTATACGTTTGAACATTCATAAAACAGGTGCATGTCAGCATGTTTCAGCTGATCCTTCTTTAATATTATCCCTGTTATTTTTCTTCTATTTGTTTTGTTCGGTTGCTCATTGGTGCAATGTTAATTTGGATTCGAAGGTCGCGTTATCGGTGATCGTAAACCCTTTTCACCACTATCGACTACTAAAATGCTATATATATATACAGCCTTATAGGGACCAGGGTGTCAAAAGAACCCCCAAACCCCAAGTTTTATTTCCTCGTGTGTTCGCGAAAAAATTGACAACTTTTCCTTGACAAGTGACCTTGTTCGAAAGCTGGTCATGCCAGTTTTTCAACAAGGAAAAAATACTCGTGCGTGTGTACGGCCGTCACGGAAAACTGCCAACAATATCTTCCAGCCAATTGAGCGGTTCTGGAAGTTGTTGTTTTTTGTTTGCTTTGAGATTCGCGGTCATATACTCATTTTATCATATTGTCGTAAAATATACTCGACATATTTACTATCGTAAAACTTGTCAAGAAAAATTTGTCAAATTTTCTGCGTACACATGCACGAGCAAATAAAACTTGACAAGGTAAACTGACTTGTTCGCCATATACACAGTTTGGTGCTTACTGCTTATAGCTTTAGCTCTCTCTCTCTCTAAAATTTCTGCGATATGCATTTCCGTGGTAACAGTGCATGACCGTTATACTAGTCTAGCCATCACATGAACAGTTCGTATATTTTATACACAATCATAAATTAAAAAGACAAAGCTATAATTTTTTGCTGCTTAAGCGACCAGTTGAAAACATGATTATTTAATAAGTTAAAACGGGTCGTAGACGTGACAATTGATTTTGTATACATAGACCTTACATATATATATTTAAATGATGATGTTAGTCTCACGTGTCTCGATCTTCTTAAATTGCATGAGTAGCGATAATAAAATTTAGTTGCGATAACTAAATAAACTCATTTTAAGACCTAATTTCATCTATACTTAATTCGCTCTACTAACATCTTATAGTATTGATTTTTCGAACAACTATATATATATATATATACATATATACATATATATATATATATATATATATATATATATATATTATATATATATATATATATATATATATATATATATATATATATAGGCTATAAGTGGATAGCTGTTTTTCATAATGGATGCATTTTTATTTTTAAGCTTTTTAGACGTCATTTATGTAGAATTACGGCTATTTACATTTTATATATTGTTATGCATAATATATTTCTAGCTACACTATCCTAATATTCATCATAATAAATTTCGACAAAGTTTGGTGTATTATGAAAATGGCCATAATCAGTTTTTAAATTAAAAAGAACGAATTTTGTTTAGAAATTTTTCACACTTAAAGATCTTGGAATATTCTCTTTCATTAGTTACAGCTGTCCGCCGTCCACAATAATGTTGCAATCGTTTCTAGACAAATATTAGTCAGGTTGATGTTTCAGTGTTTTGAGTGATCTTTATATTTCCAAGGGCATCCATTTATAGAATTTATTGCACCATTTATATAATTTATTGTCAGGACAAAAATAGCGTGACGCGGCATATAATAAAAATCCAAGATGGCGGCGGACATATTGTCTCTTCGAACTATTTGCGGTATCAAGCAAGATTTAAAAACACAAGAAAAGCTTGCTTTATAAAGTTCAAAAATTCCCCTCTTCCTTTCAGTTTTACGGGGTTAGGGTTAGGGTTAGGGGTGATATATCGGTTTTGTTGATGCATCGGTTTTTAGCAAGGATTAATAATTAATAATATCCACTGATTCCGACAGGTAAACATACATAACGTTCAACCCCACGGCTTAACAAATTAACTTTTCCTGCGCTTCTCCCAGCTGTGTATGCCTGGCCGATAAATTTGACATTGTTACTGGGTTGTTTCCATTAGCTACCTATGCGTATATATTGATATATAATTCTCCCGGATAGATATAGTTCTTCCAGGGCTGTTTCATGCATGCATTCAACGCAGAATTAAGCTTAAAAACCTCGGAATGCGTTGAAATCTCACAACTTTTCTTTTACCGAGTCTTTCAATGATTTGCAAAACCATGTTTATCTAAGGTTGACGATATTCTACAAGCTAGTTTCATGCAAACAATTATTGTTTCTATTGTCGCAATGATTGTTTGTGTATTCGTGGTTAACATCTGGCGAAGTGAGTAGCGTTTCATAAACGTCTAACTGATCCTTTCTCGAGTTAGCAGGCATTGACAATAGAAACCGCTCGGTGTTGGGGGAACACTGCGCAGATACGGCCCTGCCAGTCGAAGGGCTGTTGTTGATATTTGTTTGAGCTGTGGAAAGCTCGTTTCGACGACTAGACTCAAGTGTTCGACCTGCCCCTTTATTTCTCGTGTACAACTTGCCCATTCCTTTCCTGAACAGTGGATTAAGAAGAGCGTAAAGAAATGGATTTACAGCTGCGTTAATGTTCGGTAGCGTGGCTGCCACCACCTCGAAGCCCACTAATCTGTCTGGTAAAAAAACTTTTCTCCAAATTTTGATAAATAACGGAGTCCAACATATTATGTACACGACGATAAAGACGCTAAGACGCAGTGCTGTTTTCCACTCGGAGACATTCATGCGGGTTGTCTCGACCGGACGCCGGCCCTTTTGCTTTCGAATTCTCCTCAAATGCTTGTGTGCGACGATGAATATACTCACGTAGGAAACGAAGATGACCATGACTGGTAAAATGTAAACGACGATGGTTAGAAACATTATGTAGGGAATATTGTTTCGGTCTGTTCCTCTGGCTAAAGACAGGCCTCCAACTAAGACGGCTCCGATCCAGCCGCAGAGAATAGCGATTTTTACCCTCAGGGAACTCACATTATTTATATACCAGTAAGGAAGACTGATCTTCAACGCTCTTTCTATGCTCAAAAGGGCACAGTTGAAAATTGACGCTGAACCGCACAGGATGTCGACGGTATAGCTATAATAATGGAGTTCTGCATCAAGTGCCGCGTTCGCTATCCAGAAGGGAATGGATACCATGCCAACCACGAGATCGGAACATGCAAGACTTACGACAAACATATTTGCCTGGTTTCGAATTGACTTCTCCACTATAAATGTGACCACAATTAAGCTGTTGCACAATATACATAAAACCATTAAGAATACAATTACACCAAGGAACCAAGAGGCATCTGGTGGAGGTTCAACGCCGGTAGAGTTGCCACTCGTCCTATTATCCATGAATATGTGTTTTATGTTTTGAGATTAGCGTCCTGTGTCTGTGGCAGTCCTACTTTCTTGCTGCTATTGATATCCCCCTCAGTCCTCGCTTCTCAATCTCAAGAAGAAAAAAAACAAGTCATCAGTATATATATGTATACATGCACCTGTCAACTTTATCAGTAGTCCGCGCGCACGCAATAGGGGACAGCGCATAAATTAAAGAGCCATTAAAAAGAGAATGAGGCTAAAGAGAGCCTCATGTTCGGTGTCGCTGATCTGATGATACACTGAATAAGACCGGCCTTGTCGACACGTATCCGGATATTTTTAAAAACGGAGGATTTTTTCAATGACCAAATCTTCGTGGTCTAGCTGGTGAGACGGGAAGCATCTTCATCATATTCATTCGCTTTTTTAAACACTCTCCGTGCAGGTTTGCCATGCATAGTTAAATGAAGCTGAATGCATGCTATTTATAGACTTGAAATTATGAAATAGGCAAAAGTAAAACAACCAAGCAATTTTAGTTCACCATCTTGAAGAGATACAAAACACGCACCGTTAATGGCCCGTTATAAACTGCATCCGATCATAGACGTCATCGAATTTGAAAACCTCCGTTTTTGCCCGTCCACGCGTAAACACGAAAACGGCGTTTTCGAAAAACTCCACTCAGCATGAGAGCGTTTTTTAAAACCTCTGTTTTCGGTTGCCGAAAACGCCGGTTACGTGTGGACGCAAGGCCAAAACGGATAAAAAACCTCCGCTTTTAAAAATATATAATAAAGCACTATATACTTATCGAGAACAGAGCCGGAATTAATATACTTCCAGAGACCCAAATAAAAGAATTACATGACGTCACATTTTTTGAGCATGCGCAACATAGTCTTAATAATTATGCAAAAATGAAGTCATTGTCGTCGCCCTTGATGTCATATTTGCTTAAAAAGCAAATATGAGTACATCTTGTAAACCAGTCAATAAGAGTCTTCCTTTTGAGTAACTATTTGTTTTAATCAGTGGGCAAGGTTCAGTTCGGCAGAAAACCCATGGGGTCCTGCGCAAGATTCGTTCTCTCGCGTGCACGAGTTGAAATACATCGCTTGTATAAATATTTATGAGTATTGTATTTAAATGGCGAAAGCTTGTATACCTGGTGTGAGTTGATAAAAAATATACCTACAAGTTATTAATTAAAGGATTTTTATTGGGTAAAACTCCGCATTGTAAAGTTTGAAAACTGATATTCCGAACCAGACAGGAAATAAAGCATTAGCCGAAGCCACACAAAGCTCTCCTGCTAATAATTTAATTTTGTGGCCGTCATCTTGTCCAGTCACATGTATATAAGTAAGTTCTATAGCGGGAACGTCTGAGTACCTGCCTAGAATGATTACAACGACCACATTGAACAATGGCAATGAACAATAGCATTTTTATAAACACCTCCCAAAGCAAAAATCACTTTGCAAACTAGGATAAATTTACTTCATGCACTATAACCAGGGAGCAGCGTGGCAGCGTCTTCAAACAACTAAGCAAATGTGGTATAACAACTGCCTAAAATAAACAAAACACTTCTCAACGTTTCGACCTGAGGGCCTCAGGTCGAAACGTCGAGAAGTGTTTTATTTTAGGCAGTTGTTACACCACATTTGATGCTTAGTTGTTTACTTTACTTTTTAATCTTTATGATTATTCTTTTAAAACTGCACAAATTGAGAAATTTTTGGGTAGAACTGTAATCTGTATGCACGGTGGAAAAACTGTTTTAAACATCCGCCACATTATATATCTTTGAAATATATGCGAGTATTATTACGACTTACGCTAATAGACATGTACTAGTTCAAGTATACCATTAGGCATTACTGAAGAAAACGCTGCTAAAATAATATAAAGTAATTTTTGTGTGAATTTTAATGCGCCGAACCAGAAGACAATGTCAATGTACTTTGACAAGCTAAAAGAAACACAATAGGAAAATTATTCGTACACGCTGAAGACTTGAAGTTGTATACATTGACAATATGTGATGGAATAATTAAAAGCCCACTTCAAAATACACACATATGTGATATTTGTTATGACTCGTTTAATATATATGTATATGTCTTGTGTGGAAGCGTTGTTGTATGATTCGTTTTTTTATAAGCTATAGGCCTATAGCAGTAAAGCAGTATAAAAATTATATTATGTGTAATTTTCCGTTGCCCAATAGTAAGTTGAAACTTTGCAAAACATTCTTGAACTCGAGCCGACTTTTAAGCAAGCGTCTTCATTTTGTTTGCTTATATCAGTTGACCTCATCTGACTGCTAAATTTCGGCATGAACATGCATATGCTGTATAAGTAAGGCGTTTAAGTTTTCGTTTGGCTATTAAGATGGTAAAGCCGTGAAGATAGGATTTTTAAGTATAACAGTGATTAACATTTTTTTATTCGTTCTTGAATAGGCAAATGAACGCTAGCTATCTTTCAGGAAAATGTAATGAATGACAACTGTCAACTGAACATTGAATCGTTTGGTATAGTACACCCTAACAGCAACTGCTCTCATCGCGAAAAGCCGCGGCGTAAATTTCATACTAGCATGATGAAATATTCGCAATTTCTCCATGCAGATGGGCATGGGCATTCATAATTGCTATGGATTCGCGTAATGTTGCCTGGTTATGTATTTGCCGGTCTGACTTTCACTATACCTTGGCTGCGCGATTCAGTCATAAATGAATTATTTTAGGGCAGCCTCGTACTGATTTAGAGTATTATTATATTGTAATTCGTAATTTAGCAGTGGTAGAATTAACAGCTAAAATCGGTTTGAAACGTTAATTAAATTTCAAAATTTTCCGTTCTTCACCAGTCCACGCACACACCGATCGCCTGTATTAAAACTAAATTACTGTTATTAAAAAATACTGATATTTGCGCCAACACTTCGAGAGGATAAACATTGGCATCTTCGCTACAACAAGCCAGTTGCTTTCTCCTTAATCCCATTAAAGGAAAATGCTTTTTGACAGCAGATAAACATTTAGACATTCAGTTTATTAACTCATTTTCACAAACCTTTTGATCCAATTCATGGAACTTCGCAATTTAATCTGACCTTCAAACTTCCGTTTGCCAGTTTTTGAATGCTAGCGATACGATTTCTAATGTTTTGTTTTCGGCATCGTTTGATTTGGAATATATTAAAGTGACTTCAGAAACATTGCACTTCGCTCGTACATACAATTAAGATCCATTGTTTGGAATATAGTGCAACTCTTCCTCTTAAACTTGTCAATTAATTTCCGCTACACCTGCTAAAGTTTTGCGCCTCGAATGACTCAAAGTAAGCAGTTTCGTTTTTACTTTTGTCAGCGTAATTCAGCGCCATGCACGGTACCTAGAGACATTGTGTTATAATGAATTATTTTTCAAAGGTTGAAAATGAGATAGATATTTTGGCGCTTCAGCGTTTAGAGTCAGATCCTGCGTATGACTGAGAAACGCTGTTAACTTCAAGTGTTCAACATATTTCCTCACCGAGTCAGTCCCTGAATATGAAATGGTAAATGTCAAGTTATAAAACAAATAAAATATTTGTTGCATAAAAACGGCGACTGAAGCCGGAGTTTCCTTGTATGCATGCATAGACAATTCAGAATTGTCTATGATGCATGTGCGTACATATATGGCTACACTGCACATTAATCGTTAACGTTTTTAAAACAAGTCCAATGCTATATGCATAAACGTTAGTTAAATACTAACCATATATCCTTGATCCATTACCTACGATATACTATACCCTAGACCACTGCACTAAATTAGTACAATATTTTGCTGGATAAATGCTGTACAGCTCTTTTACCACTCGTGATTATAAAGCAAGGTTTTTCAGTTTTAATTTTCCTCGGGGCATTTATTACTCTATTACACAACTTCAAATGATATCTCATTAAATATAGATGATAATTGTTTTTAAATTGCACTCAAACTAATGATAGTGGAATTCCATATCAATTTGCGGCATCATATTTCAATGCTAAAAAGGTAAAATCAGCACACATGCATGCACATAACAATACGTAAACGGCCTTATTCAAACTGATACAACAATAAGAAATTGCCCTCAAAATACGCCTAATACCCTGGAATCGTTTTTAAACCGTGCATGCGACAGATGACTTGAGCCGGATCAAGTGACAACTTTTGGGGGTCCGCATGATCAAGCACAAGGACCCGTTACAAAAACCTTTGAATCAGAAATCTTTGACTAAACAAGACCGAAGCTGATTTTTTTCTTAACTGATCAACACTACGCATTATACGTTTCGGGGAGATATATGTAACAAAGGGATATGAATAAGGAATAGAGAGGTGCATGTGTGTAACGTACAAAGCATGATTAATACAAAACCATGATTATTAATACAAAAACTATTTATCCGGGGCAATGAAATATGGCCGATGATTGTAATTTCACTTTTCTAGCGACAATCGTTCATTGTATAAAATACTGTAAATATCATATTATTACTATTTTAATGTTTGTCCTCTGTACACCTGAAGAATTGAGACGAGTGAGAAATTCTTTTTGAACTGACTATACTACTGCAAAAAGCCTGGGAAAATGCGAACAAAGCATACCTGACTGTGATTCTATCATTGGACTAAAGGTAAAAGGTGTTTTTTGGAGAGAGTGTAAATTGCGCTCATTAATTTTTCAAACCAGGTCGAGTTGCAATTTTCGATGGGCGCCCTGCTGACTCTTTTGTAGGTGAGTAGGTCAAAAGCTGCGCTCAGGGCGGTATCCCGCATGCAATGTCCATGCGATTTAAATGTATCTGGATCTGCACCAGACAAACAGGTTATTATTAATAGCCAGCAAGGCGCGTAAGTTTATTGATAATTCGTACCTGCTCAACAAAAACTAAAATCAATCACGTCTGCTTCCCAATCATCTATAAGTCCATTTTGATTGAAATCTCACGGCAAATTAAGGTGATGAAGCATAAAGCAGTCCAACACGAATAACGACTCTCATCTCCGTCGATGCCAGATATAATGTTAAGAATTTACGTAAATTTTGTTATCGGAATCGCATCGCGCGGCGTGTCAAAAACAAACATCAATATTCGAATATAATTTATTAATTTCATCGACTTTATTCTTGAATTATTCTCGCAAGGCTATATTGTGATGGAATCCAATATGTTCGAAACTATCTTATTAAAAACGTGAGAAGAAAGTTTCAGAAGTACAAAACAAAACCAAGCCTAGAACAATACGAGCATGACTGCAATGTGCGTTCATCAGTATTATTGCCTTTGGCGCCCGCATATATAATATAATTCTATAATCAAAATATGGCTACAATAAGTATATGCGCGTGCGTCACAGACCGCCAGGTTGAACATACTTGTGGCGTTGTTGGAAGCGCTGACGTGTGTAAGTTTTTTTATCATATGAAACATACGTGCCTACTCCATTATCACAATAATTTTTCAATCATGCGGAATTTGGTCTCAGTATATAGAATTAACAGAATGAAAGAACCACCCATTGGCATGGTCCAACGCTCGTTTAATTATAGGTATATACGGAAAAATCAAAATGAACCTTTTTCCTGCGCCGCATGTAAATGGACCCAAAACTCGATTGCTCGTGAATTTTGAATTTATCATATTCAAATCGTTTCACCATTTTTGATTTTGTAATTTGCAATTGAGCTCGCCGCATAATGACGCGGACCACTCAGCGAGGGGGCACTCAGCAAGATAAGATTTTTCAAGAATAAACAGATTTTTTTTAGAAGTACACAGGTTAAGGCAATGTGAGAAAGTACATGGCAGTTAGATACGATTTACTAAAGGGTATAGTGCACTATAAAAAAATATTTTACAATCCGATTATCCGAACACTATATTTCATATATACGCGTGCTATCCTAGCTTACTTTAACAAGCTACCCGCCTCCTAGCCTAGTATAGTAGTTTTGGAGCCACAGAGGCTTGGGTGAAATTTTTGGCGTGGGATCTGAGTTTGTCCATACTTGCAGGGGTAAATTTTTGCTCATACTCACATGTTATTTTAAAAAACATTTGGCCAAGGTATTCAGTTTCAGCCACAAGTCATTGCGGTCATCGCTACATTGCTAAAGACAACCAGGTTCTTGCAATATTGATATGAACAGGATGGAATAATCTTGTTTTGCCATATTGTTCGTTCACAGGCACATGCAGTAGTGAACAATATATTTACATCCTTTCAGTTCTAGCAATGTCTTTCAATGTTCATTGATAAGTGTGAGTGCAGCATCATGCATGCAGTTAAGCTGGAGTAATTTTAGCCGCGTATAGTACAGCAACATTAGGCACTTTAAGCATGTAGGACGGGAACACGACAACGGCAGCTATCAATACAATGCTTCATTGAAAAGAAATGAATTATTAAATACCTGAAGGAGTTTTAGACGTGATCTACGTTCTGTTTACGACGGCAGAACCTCGTTTATTACGTTCTGTGTAGAACGTCTGCATTTCAGGACCCAGTGAGCGCTACCTTGAATTGGGCTCTATAGAATTGTCCCTAAGCGTAAACACAGTTTTTTTAACGTCTTATATCTCATTAAATTGGTACATTTGATAATATAGAAGAACGCTTTATCATAACATTTATTTAAAGGAGTATTCCAACCACGTCGTCGTCGTGTTGCCGTCTTACATGCTTATAAGTTCCTTATTCACGTTAGCATGCAGTACGGGTTTATTGCTTGGTAATCTTTTTACGGAAGGGAAGGAGAAGAATAATATATTTTATCAATAAGCTTCTTTTAATCTTCAATGATCAACTTTTTAATAATTTTTTGGCATCCAGTTTTTTATGGGTACTCTACCACTTTCTCAGAAATAGCTCACAAGAAAACAAGAGTCCTTCTGAAAAAGGCCAAAGTATTAGCCTGCGATTTGTAGCTAAATGAAAACGTGTTATCATATGTTGCTATACTGACTTATCACGACACTTTCCTTCAGCCTTTGAGCGATTTCCTTAATTATATAAAGCTGTGATTTGCATGGTGACGAATATACGTAAACAGAATAATAAATCTTAATATATTTCTAACCTCCGGCCATCTCACCGCGGTTCGACCTCAGTCTGACCTGGGTTAACCGCGGTTTTTGTTAGGTTATTTAATTCTGGACGGTACCGTATTTGCATGCACGCACGCATTTGCACTCATGCATGTATGTAGTCGCGTGTTAAGGATTTGCGTATTAGATAAAAAGTTTACTATATCACGGGGTCTATTTTTTATTCTTAATTGATACCATCCGATGCAGGTGGTTTGTTTTTTAATGAAACAAATAGGGTCCATGGTAGTTTTAGTACAAGCTGCATGTAAAAGCAAAAATATGCACGTTTATAAATTTGCATTAATATCACGATTATATATATAGTACCATATGTGGTGCACACTTCAGTATATATGTATATATGACTGATCAAGGTGAATAAATATTTGCCAAATGTTAATATATATTTAATATCCCTTGCTTTCTTTTTTTGAAGTAAAAAATCAAGGAGCGCCTATGTATAAAAATGTTTGTTTTGCTTATTTATTCAGCATTTCAGTAATCTATATACCAACTCTGAGGTGAACGTTGGCGAACTTTAATGGGCGAAATAAGGGCTCGAACTGGCTCGAACACGTTCGTCTGGCCATGCATGCATGCATGGCTGTAATTAATCTTGCGGGGCTTTTATATAACTTATTTCATAAATTACGTTTATACATGCAGTAATGATATATGCTTATATACTATGCACGCTATCGCTACAAGCTTATATACTTAGTATAGAATAATAATACTTAGCCTAGTATGAGTAGCCTAAATGTAATCTGAAGTGTGCATGCAACAATCTATATATATAGTAATATCATTTGAGTAAACAGCGTATATACGTGCATCAATTGAACATAAAGGAACTTTGACAAGCCGTTCTTGGCTTGCAGTTTCGAAAAAAGTTGACACGGTAAATTAATATATATATATATATATATATATATATATATATATATATATATATATATATATATATATATATATATTACGGCTTGTCAACGCTTGCATGCATGCCAAGAACGGCTTGGGCACATTTTTATCATACAATTAGGGGTATATCATGCATGGATTTAAACAAAATTTAAATTAAAAAATATATCCGAATATGCAGCGGCAATATGAAACAATTTTGGCAATTATTGGACATTATACTCATTAGACATTATAAACTCATTTTCCTACCCAAATTACAAATTAAAAATGCTATTGTTTCAGGTAAATTTCATGTCAGCCGTATACAAAAAAGCTTGAGTTCCTAACGTTTTACAATTTGCTTCATATATAATTTGTTTCATATATACGTAGGATATACATAAGATCTTTCATTTTATTGTTGAGAAAAGTCTGTCCTCTCTCTTCAACATGACAACAAGCGCAAGGCAATCAGTATAAATAAACGGTTTAGAGAGCAATATATAGTTACTACGAAATACGAATTACGATAATGAAAAGCAAAGCAATAATATAGTCAAAGCACTGATTTTAATTTTTGTAATTGTATATTATGCAAGCAAGATAAATATTGCCATCAGTCAGTCTCAGCCGAACATTGAATTCTCTCCCCAACACGCATGGGCTCAGAGCAACCGTCAATCCGGCCAGTTAATTCATCTTATGCACTTTATATATATAGCCGCGTATTATAGCTATATAATGATTAAGTACACCGACTAATCTTACATTCTTGCTTGCATAAATGGAAATTCTTGGGTTAATTTCGTGGTGCATGTTCAATTACATAAGTTAGTGAACATTCATAGCTATCGGTTGCAAGCATCAGTGGAATCTCGAATTGGAATGAACTTATACATGCAAGCTTATTGAAGTCAGATTGGGATTATAGTATATACACGTATATTTAAAGACAAATGAACGGTATATAGATAAAGCTAACACTGCACTGCTATTAGTGCTATATATAGACTTACAGTAACTGAAATAAATGCATTTTTTACGCCAGTACAAACCATAAAAAACTCTAAACGCGCGAATGCCGGATAGTGTTTTGTGGTTACAAGTGCGCTGTATATGTAACACTTGTTGTAACTGATTATATGACCGCGGAAAGAAATATCGTTTAATGTGTATTTACTGTAAATACGCAACGCTCAGAAGTCACTAGAATGAACCGCGAAAAA